CTTGTAATAAAATGTTAAAAATAAATTTGAATAACTGTGTGAGGTATTGTTGTTTCGGGCTGTGGGTAGGAGTTTGCATGGATTTCAACATAATTTTAGGGCTGAAACGATCCTTCGACTTTAGTTCCATGGAGAGACATCAGAGAAGGTTACTTGCGAAAATTTTATTCATAGTTTCCTCCTTGTTCCCTGCTTCGAGACAGATCCATCACTGTGAAATCTGCTGTAACCACTAACTACACATTCCATACGTTACGGTAGTGTTTGCGCATATACCGGTATAGTCAGATAGTCTATATATACCGAAAATATAACAAAAAGACTAGTTATAGGATCAGATAAGCAGAGTAAACACACATCAATTATAAAATCTAGATCATTTGAGACAAAAAAATGGCCTGGTATGCGCTTTTTCACTAGAAAATATATTGCAGCAAAAGGTTCGGCACAGAACTCGAGTACGTCTTAACCTCGATTAGTTGAGTTTACTGCAATTTCTCATAATGCAATAATATTAATTAAAGATATTGGTATTGATTTAAATCACAAAAGCTTCCTCCAAGTGCACCGCCCAATAGAACTAGCACACGGTTCAAAATAAGTAGGCTACACAGAATACTATAATTGCCTTTGACCGTAGTAGTATATATTTACGCTTTGACCTAATGCAAAGTTTCGCCGACCCATACGTCATCAACGTGAAATACTAATTTGCGTTCGATTTCGGCAGGGTCGACTTTTAAAAATTCGAGTCTCGCAAACGAAGTCCATTTTATGCAAACGGTAAACGCCGAAAATCCTAATAAATTATATATTCAATTCGTTTATTACTCCAGGCCGCTGTGGTCCAGATAAAAACAACACAACAAATAAACATAAGCAAAACAAAAATAACGCAATAAATACATAAAATAACTGATATGACAATCAGATTCACAGTAAGGCTCAAAAACGAGTTATAAAAAAGCAATTTAAGAGACCAAAAGTGAGGTATAGAATCTAAGATAGCCCGTAACAAACAGTATCTGGGAATCAAATATTGATTGTAATAAAATGTTATTGGAGTTCCTGCATCTTGTCATGAACAACTACAGATTTTTTCTATGGAGTGCTTCGAAAGAGGGAATGTTCCCAGATACCATTTTGTGACGGACACTCTCAGATCTAGAGACACAGTGAATTACGCGAAAAGCATTATTATATGAAATTTTAACTTTTTTATAATTATAATTATTGAAAAACAACCAGAGCTGGCAGTTATAAATGCTACAACAATACGTCCTAAATAAAAGATTTTTCACAGTAGTGGAACAATTGACAAATTTTTTCAAAATTGTATGGGCTATAAAATAAATTGATTTATACTGACGTTTCAAGTCAAGGTCATCTCTAAGATCACTGGATAGGAAAACACCAAGATATTTAGTGGACGAAACATAAGTCAATACAGAATTACAAAGTTTGATATCAGGCAAATTATTCAGCCTAAACTTTTTATTCTGGATACACATACAAACAGATTTTTTCGAGTTGTACAAGATGTCATGTTCAATAGAGTATTTATCGCATATGTTAAGTAAACGTTGAAGACCTTTGACTGAAGGTGAAATGCAACACATGTCATCAGCATAAAAAATATGATTGATAATATTGTTATTTGCTACACATCCAATGGTCTCTTGATTCAACTTAACAAAAAGGTCATCCATGAAAACAGCATATAAATATGGACTTAATATACTACCTTGCTTGGTACCATTATGGACAGAGAAAGGATCTGACACACTGCTACCCCATCTAACAAACATGGATTGATTACGATACATGTGTACAATCAGCGACAAGAAAATTTTGGGGATTCTTCTGTTAATTAATTTACGAAATAGAGTCCAGTGATTAACTTTATCAAAAGCTTTAGTGGCATCCAAAAAAGCTATGAAAACTGGTGATGTTTTTTTGGAATAATAAGTAGCTAGCTGCTTTATTGTAAAAATGCACATGTCAGTCCCGTGACCAGGCTTGAAACCAAACTGGTTGTGAGATGTAGTTAAGTAAGACCCAATGTTATTTAAAATGTGTTTTTCAAAAATCTTAGATAAGACAGAGGCCACTGCAATAGGCCTGTAGTTACTTGCACTACAAATATCACCATTTTTGTTCTTAATTATAGGCTGAATAGAACTTGAAAGGGAGGATGCAGGAATATAACTATGGTTCATACATGTGTTAATATACAAACATAAAAGCACTGATAGAATTGGATGAGAATATGCCAAATGTTCCTCAGGACCAGGTGAACAACCAGATTTAAGAGAAGAAACAATACTTGCAAGTGCATCGACAGTGAGCAAGTAATTACTGAAACAGTTATCAACATCAGAATTCAAAAATCCTAACACAAAATTTTTATCATTTTCATTGGGAACACTATTAAAAATTTCTTCAAAATGATTTTTCCATATAGAATCAAATTTGCTACAAAAATGTTTGCGTGATAACCCACCTTTAAAGATGGCCCAGTTCTTTACAGTAACGACATACGGCTTCACTCTCACACTCTGTGAAATTGTTAGCCGCCTGAAAACATCTTCCACAGGTACAACTCTCGGGGAAGGTAGGTTTCACACCTGTTCCCGTCGATTACCACGTAATCGGGTAAACGATCCTTTTTAAAGTTTTCCATAAAAAAAAGATGTATAACCAACATAAATGTTCGATTTTTGTGACGGCCTTGCTATATGATGTTTCTACCGGGACCGGTAGAAAGTTGAGGATCGTATGGCGGTGGGTCAACGACAGGAAGGCTAAGACATACAAGGCCGTGGATCGATGATAGAGATACGCTTATCATCCCGGTTTAACTGGGACAGTCCCGGTTTTAGCAAGTTTTTCCGCCGTCCCGGCGGTAAACCTAGGTGTCCCGGTTATCAGTATGGCAGTCATAAACAATTTTTCCAAACGGAGGCAGCAGATCATCATTGATTTGCGTCTCACTTCACTAGTTTAAATAGAGAAAAAAAATCGACATGTCATAGTAATGATATTAAGTATGAACCATGCGTCAATTCAACAACCAACTGTACTGTCGGTATTCATCAAAATGCCGAAAACAAAGTGCAAGTTATTTAATGAGTTCAACGATTTCTATTATTTGAAGCAAAAATCAATAGAAGATAAAGGTTGCAATTTCTGCGGTCGCTTCCTTTTCTGTCAAACAGACAGATATTCACTTCAGTTGCAGTTGTCATAAAGGCGATATACGATAGATATAGACTAGGTTAAAATTAGCTATCAGTATTTGTAAACGGATAATTCTAATACAAATTTTGGTTTTGAACATGTAAACCAGTTTATACGAGCGAACAGCCCAAAACATTTCAAAATAGGAGTAAAATTTTGTGCAAAAGTAATGTAAAAGAAGGAATTGTTTGGGGCCTAAGTTCGAGGAAACGTTCATACCCTATCATTGTGATATGTTCCATGCTTATTTAAAAAAAAAATGTTCTCAAGATCCGGCGTGTACCGACAGGTTGAACACTGATGATTTACTGATTTTAGCGTCGTCTATCCTATAGCAAGCATCCTAGCTTTTTTATTTATTCATGTATACTTATATTTTGGTAATTTTTTATTAATATATACTTATATTTTGGTAATATAATCAAAATCTAAAACTACATAAACAAGGCAGGGTTTACAATCGCGCTTCTTGTCTGCGAGATGAATTTCAATTGTTACGAGCCGACGAACTTTATGAAAATATGCCATTTTTAGAGAAAACACAACTCGGGGAATGCGTCCGTGGACGTGTTGTAAATATAATACATTTTCACGAATTAGTTGCGTTTTGGTTGTTACGATTTTTCTTGCTCATCACTGGTTACAGATGACGTTTCTAATATTATCCAATGGAAAATGAATAAAGCGATGTGTATAATACTGTAATATGTGAATGAATAATATTTCATTACTTAGAAGTAAGTAAAATATATTGATGTAAGATTGATATAATTCATTTATATTGTAATTATCTACCGGTACCGGTACCATAATGTAATTAAATTATTCGAATACCGAATTAAACATGTTAAGAACAAGTGTCGTTTTAATCAAATAGAGAGAACGACGCTGGCCCGGTGAGTCAGTGCTTAGTGCGTATTGTTGCCATGTGGTGAGAATAATTTGTGTAGTTCAAGTTGCTTAATTTATGATTTTAAAATTATAAATTTATTTAAGTGCTATTGAATTTGTTATTTTTTACTTCTTAGTGCTATGGACGATGCAAAAAATAAACTGAGAAACAGCATGAATGCAGATTTACTGAATGCAATACTGGTTATTAAAGTTGGCGTGAAACAAAACAATGAACTTGCACTTCTTTGCAACAGTCAGACAGTTGCTGGTTCGGTTGTCAAGAGAATAGGTACAACAAAAACCTATAAAAATCCCTCTGAACAGATGTTAGCTTCTTCATTATCTAATATTATGTAATATTATAAACTTTGTATGCTCTTGTTTCGTTGATTTTGATTAAATTTTAATGACTTCATATCTAGATGTTTTTCGAGGTCAATCTAGATGTTTTTATTCAGGCAAAAGTGACAGCCCTGGGTGGCTGTGACGGCGCTCTCTGTTCAGAGCTGGCTATGTCGTATTCTGTGCGTTGCTGACTATTTTGACGGCGTGCAGGCAGCGGTGGCGCGAACCTGTTTTTAGAATGTCGTGCTGATATTGATGTTGCAGTCATGACGTGTATGTCAACATTGTTTTAGCCCTTCCTTCCCCTGAGGTGGCATCATTTTGCAACCATGTATGTTTATTTGCACCAGGATATTTGCACCTGCATACTTTTGCATACACTGACATTCGCACCATTGAACAATTGCATCCATATATTTTCACTCGCAAATTTTAGCACCCACATACGGATTACACCCATGAACATTTACACCATTTGTCAAACGTTCCTGTTGCTTTGTACAGTTGGTTAACTCTGACTTTATTGATGATGACTTTATTTGTGGCCAGTTTTCGAAAGTACAATTTTGTAATTTTCATTGTGTACTAATACTAACCTGTGATTAGAGTACAACTTGCAATGACTGTAAAAAAGAGAGAATTGCTGGTGATATACGATATGCGAAACCCAAATGATCAAGCTGTTTCTTGGTTTCATTTTTCTAAGAAGATTCCGATCGCTGAATCGTTGAGAAGGGAGTTGGGAGGAAATTTGGTACGAATTTTACAGAAAATACGTCAATGGTGAAAAAATGTTCCAGTTGATTAAAAAAACTACTTTTTGAACTATATATAATACTATTTCTTGTAGTATATATATAGACTTATATTTATTGCTAATATTTGCTTTTGTTACACAACAAAAATTGCAGTTGAATATCCGAAGTGTACTAGAAAAGGACAATTCTATCCGGATAATCTTCGGGAAACATAAAGCTGACGATAACTTTCTCGTAGTTGTTTATGGCAAAGGTAAATGGATTGCGTTTAATTCATAGTTCACATTGTGGATGGAATAAATAGTTACCTTACTTGGTTGTTTTAGTTACTTGTTTTAAATACTCCTTAGTGCAACAAACATAAGGGTGAGTAATAAAATGGGCGTTGTCAATTTATAATTTCTCACACTCTTCACAGCCGATTATATTGCTATCAAAACCTACTGGGAGTTTTATCAAAATTAAAACGCATACTGTATGCGATTAGAGTTTTTTTACCATATTTTACTTTTTTCATTCAGAGTGTTGTCTAATTTTAACCAGTTTTTATGTTGCAGGACCTTGCAGGTCAAATTCGCAGGATTGCAAATTTTTTGGAAATTGAGCTAAAGGATTTCGAAGTTGAAAGAATTGCTGATGCTTGTTCAATTGGATTTAGGAAAAAAAGAGCAGAAACAGAAATGACTGGGATTTTGAAGATGAAAGTACGAAAAGGCAAGACTTGAATTGAATGAAAATTTAAAAGCATGTCTTCAGCTCAATCATCAAATAACAAATCAAGAAAGAAATATCCGTATTCCATATCCATACCATACGTATTCCGGTCCTTTCAATCGTATATTCCATAATTGTTAATCAATGCTTTCATGAAGTCGAGTTCAGAGTAAAGTAAAATATCAGGCAAACGGTCAAGTAAATCATTCATAATTTTTCATAAACTTGACCATCCACGGAATTAAGCAAATAAAATATACCACCTGCTAATTGCCTTACATCAGCAGAATAGTAATCAAACTTCGTTTAATCAAAAATGAATTACTGTTGCACAGTCTGAAGTTATGAACAAAATCATAGAAGAACGACTTGCCGCCACTGGAATCAAATTTGTGTACACACACTGTAGTCCTCTTTACTATTTTCGCGTTGTCAGATAGTATCTTTACACTTTTTAATTTATTTCTATATTTGTCAAAATCTGTCATTATACTCGCTATGGAAATGTGATCTTTGAAAAGTATTTTTTTCTGCTTCATTTTTTGTTTGTAACATCTTATGAAATGATATTTTAGTCAGCTTTTATTTGTGGATGAGTTTGTACATGCTAGTCAGTTTACCTTTGTCATACTTTTGTCGTGGATACATAGATTCTTAAAATTTGTTTTCGGCTTCTGTTTTTTGATACCTAGCATTTAACAAACTCTCTCACAGTGTTAATCTTATCCAGTTATTTAAAGAAGCACTTGCGCATTTTTTATATTCTCAAAATAAAGGTTTATTCCAGGGTCGTCCAGCCCGTGGGCCACATGTGGCCCACCAAAGGCTGTGAAGCTAGAAGAGGTAGTTTGTATGACCTCAATATTTTACAGCACTTAGGCTACTTGTACGAGCAAATAGTTTTGCGGATGAACCATGTCAAATTCCCCGTGAGATCACTAATTTCTAACGGTCATATGAAAAATTTGCTATGCATTGCTACATCGTCCATCGCACCGAATATTGACAAACTTATTGGATAGAAGCGGTGTCATACTTGACATTAAAATATCTATGAGTGGTTAAAACTTTTGACTTAACTGTATCTTCATCGTTTTCATAATTTTGGTGTGAGGTTTTTTTTTTATTTTTCATTAATCTGTAGTCGGTGTAATGAAAACTAGAACATAACAACCATGTCAAGTGGCACGTGCAATCATTCGTAAACAAAATGTGGCCATTTGGCACAAAATGTTGGACAACCCTGGCTTCATTCGACTTTCGTGACTTATTTAGCTACATCGCCTTACTGTGAGTAATATTTTTATAGTGCTGTATATGATAATGCGTCGGTTATGACCTTTTAATATACAAGTAACTGGTACATATATGCACGAGGTAGTGATGCCATACTTGTGGTGGTGCTCGCGTGACTGCACTAATCTTGCTAGACTCAATTTTAAAAAATAATATCAAATAAGCTTGGCTTCCATTCAGCGTCCGAACTGCAAACTCTTCTCATTAGACAAAATGTTGTGTTTTCGTGCTTATTTTACGGTTGTTGTAACTGTATTATTCCGAAAATTGTCGTCAAACTACTACCACTCGAATGGCTGCGAGCTTTCAACATCGGTATTTAGGAGTACAATACGTAACGACAAATAGTTGAACTCCAGTTTCTCAGTGAATTCACTTGGTGTTATTATTTTGGTTTGTGGTAATATTACATTTGAATGTTATTGTTGGAGCGAGGGCAAATTTTTCCGCCGTAGGAACATTGTTAGTACTGGGATTGACAAATGAAAAAAGTCACTTCAGGATCATAAGTTGATTTGATAATCATCATCGAACTCGAACGGACCTTTCGAACCGCAAAACACTGACAAGATTCTGTACAAAATGTTTTTATTCGTTAAAAATAGCATTTCATTCAAGACCATCTTCACTTGAAAACCATAAAACCTTCAAAACCAAAAACTGCTGAATTCACATTCTCAAACCTTCGAAATAAAATCCCAAAAACACTCACATAAACGTTCCATAAAAACAAAAACTTGCTGGGAAAATTACAGAAAAACGGCATACTAAGTTTACCGGTACGGTACAGGGGCTTACACAAAAATCTTGTTTTTTTAATAGGCTCAGAGTATCTTGCAAAACATACCAACTCATTTTCACAAACTAGATTTGAAAAAAAAATGATTAAAAAAATCCAAATTTGATAGTATCATAAACGAGAAACGATAGATCCACTCTCAAGCATACCATTGGTAAAAGTATAGTTACATACATAAAATAAAAGACATACAGATAACTATAAAAACGTTGCTAAAACAATGGTGCCATACCAGATGTATACAATACTAGGGCTGGCTTTGTACAATGATCGGATGTGATAAAGGCATAATTAGGCACATTACAAATTGTTTTTTTTTGTATTCTGTTAATACATGATATTTTAAATACAAGTATAAAATCTGTTGTACATTTTGGCCATTCTCGCAGTTGAGTAAAATGATTATGAGTTTGTGCGAATTCTTGTCCAGATGTCTGTCTATATATACAACAAAGTTCTTCAAAGAGTCTGGAAATGAATAAAAAAAACTGTAAACTCTGGTTGAAAGCAATAATGTCAAAACGGAACCTAATATTCAAATCTGATTTTGTTGGAAATTTTAAGTTCTCGAATTACGGAGAATAATTTCATTCGAAAAATAAGCATTATTACTAAAAAGACCTCCGTTTAAATACAGCACTATTAATAAATCAACATGGTTTCATCTTTATTCTCTTGGCTTCCAAATTCTGAAGCTCTGAAGTCTGAATGTACATCTACTACTATTCTATGTAGGACTTGGATGTATTGTTGAACTTATCATCACATATCCCAAATATAAAAATATTTTCCAAAGACAAAATATTTTAGAGTGCAACCCTGCTAATAAGTGCTAATATGGCTGAACAGATTTATAGATAGAAATTATGAAAATTTAAAAATCAGACACTGCCTATATTTTTATAATCAGAAAATTTTTATTTAATGATTTAGATTGCTATAAAAAATTCCACATTTTATATTTCTTAACTCTTTACTGGTTCATTATTAGAGTCAAAAATCATTGAGAGACCATATGGTTTGTACAATACTTATCATCTCCATTAACTCTAGTTATATTGTCCAAATTCTAGAATAATATTTCCTAGAGTTTGCAATCGGCAGTGATGAAAAACATTAATTACCTGCATCTACAAGTCAGTATCAAGCCACTCCAAATCATTGGCTTGTCCTTGTCCATGGTGCATTGGTATGTCCAGGTTGACGTCACCTAGCTCTGGTAAACCCTGGTCCATAGGAACTCCATATCCTGGTTGGGGATGTCCATAATCCATGGGCTGCCCTTGGGGTGGTGGATACCCTGATATTAAAATATTGGTTAGTTAGGAAGAGATTTTCCCCAATGATTAGGATTTACTAGTTGATAGGTCTTGTAATTATAACAATTATAAGTTCACTGTAAAATTTCCCAGATACCAAATGTTGCGATAAGGATATTTATTCATTGGATATGTTACATAAATCAAAGATATCTAAATCCTATTTTACATACAACAAAAATTCAACTGGTTTACCATACAGAACACTGATAAAAACTAAAGACTATTTTGAAAGGAATAAAATTGAAAAAGTAAAGTCTTCTTATTTACACTCGAATTTAAAATGATTGAAATAGTGGATATTTACTTTCAGATGGCCATGACTGTAGTGATAATAAATAAGTTACCCGAGTGATGAGAGTTGTGCATTGAGCTGGCAGAAGAACTATGATGTGATAATGGAACAGAGTAACCATCCATGAGAAGAGCTCCCATCATATCACCTTGCTGTGAAAACAAAATTTTGTCTGAAATGCGCAAAAATTGTGAGGTAAAACCTGTAATGGCGTAACTCGTAACTTTCTAATACAAAGTTATCGAATTGCACCTATGCCAAATGTGAGTGGAGTGAACTTTGACGTCTCAACAAATAATTTCAAAATTATAGACTAGACAAAATTAACCAATGAATCGAAACTATTCCACAAATGATAGTCTAGTTTAGTCGACATATATATATATATATATATTATATATATACGAGGCACACTAAAAGAGCTATTCTATGTACATACATTATACATTGCTCCATCGTCCTTGAATAATGAAGTGGTTAGTTCTACGGACAATCTTTTCTTGTAATCCTGTGATTTGTCTTCAGACATACGGAACAAAGCGGCAGCTGCGTAGGTTGCTGAAATATAAAAATTAACAATATATCAGCTGGGTTAATCTAAATATGAATAGTTCTAGAACGGTAGGCAAACTGCGTCTCGCCAGAGTTGGAGTTTTTATGCGGCTCTTCTCACTGCAATAATTCAATATTATCCAAATTTAACTAAGAGAAATGTAGCGTAACAGTTCGACTTTTTCATTCGAATTCATTGAGCGGTTGAGCAACTCAGCACAGTCTGCGTATAATACAAAGATGCTGTTATTAGAGAGTTTGTGAGCAACAGTTAATGTATTTGTGTAATGTTTAGTCGGACAGAGAAGTCAACACTTCTTCAAACAAGCATATTTTCACTATTATAGTATTTTCAATTTTAACTACCGTATGTTTATACTATCATAGGGGAAAATCTGGCTGTCACTTAAAGAAATCTGATCTAGGTCAAACATTGCAGAAATAGATCTGTGCTAGTGTGCAGTAAGATCCTTTGTTGAATCACATAATACCATAAGACATATCAAATTATTAATACATGATGTCATGTAATATGTCCAGATGCAATAAAAATAAAACTTTTGTGTAAACCACTTATTTGGACAGCTCTATTTCTGAGATCTCAAAGCTGTGATCGGACACTAAGACAACATGAAAGTATATTTATAACCCATACACCATAAATGAAGAATCATTCATACCAACTCCTTCATTCTTCGAGTGGAGGAGATCAGTCAATGGGGCAGTGGCACCTTCATTTTCAATCACATCAGCGGCATTCTTATCTTGCGCCAGTTCACAGAGTACACCTGCTGCCACACGCTGAATGTTTTCAATCTATAAAGAAATTTAGTCGACAATCAAAAAAGTTATCCGCACAGTCGTTATCAGGAGGGTAAATCTTTTTTAGAATATTCTTTTCAGGATAGTCATTTTGAAAAATTCGTTTGAAGACTTCAATGACTGTTTTTAAGACAGATTCGAAACACATAAAAATTGACCTTACCGGTGAATACAACAACTGTACGAAGAGTGGTATGGTGTTGAGACCACAGATGACAGCTCGGCTGTGAGGTTCACGACACAAGATGTGTAAAGCACCTGTTGTACCTTCAACAATCTCTTCCATACGAACACCATCCTACAAAATGATCAAGTCATTAAATTAATACTGGTAATAAGGGCAAATCATCAAATATTGCTAATTTACATTCAATTGTAAATTACAACTTCGAGAATTTAAAGATGATGCTTTTGACCCCAATAAATGCAACACCTTTGTCATGTGGCAACAAAATAAAAGTAAATCATTAAAAATCGAAATTCTCTTGCAAAAATCAAGAGTTTAGCAGTGAAATCTTCATTCACCCAATTATACATTGAAAATTACAATGAAACATTTCAAAAAGATCAAAAACCCGTAATAGTTAAAACATGTAACGCTTAATTAGGTTTCCCATATATGGCTGTATCTTGTGTCAAAACCTAACTGGAAGAAACTACTTACCGGTAAATGAACTTTTTTAATTGAAATTTTGATACAATTTTACATTGATAATTTTTCACAGAAAATCACTGTAAAACACATCAAATTTCACTTACCACATATGTAGGTTGCTGCTGACTCATGGTTGAAGTCAAGCTTGATCTACGTGTAGAGTCCTGATGAGCCCGCATAAGAAGTTGAACAAGTCGAGGAATGGCACCATGTTCACGAAGAGGAGCATGGTTTGCTCCACAGAGGGCAAGATTACGAATGAGTCCGATGACCGCCTGATTTAACGTAAAGTTAGAAATGATTACTGTACAAGAAATTGCATAATAAGGAGAATATAAAAGAAACTCCCAAGTAAGATTCAAACACAAAAATACAGGAGCAATGCCTAGTATAGGTCTGATTGCTAACATATGAAGATAGTAAAAAAAAAGTGAAATAGTTGGGCCCAGAGGACTAACCCAGTGGAAAAAAACAGTGAATAGCCTTCCAGCGACTAAAAATAACAATTGGTTAACAAGCATACCTTGATCAATGGCCATCTTGAAGGAGGGTGAAGCAATTTCACCAAAACTGGAAGTCCGTAATGCAGACGCACTGCATTTTGTGCCATTTCAGCATCAGGATGACGAGAAGTCAAATGACGCAGAGCACATACAGCAGGTTCAGTAATGTCCTGATGATCACCAGCTTGAAGCACAGTGCGAACAAGTGCTTCGATACCTCCAACCTTCAGAAAAAGTTCAGACATATATTTATAAGGAAAACGCTAATGATTGACCATATATAAAGCTCAATTACCACAAATTCAAAATGTATTCTATTACAATGATATCTCTGTACTTGAACAATTCGGTATTCGAACACCATAACTGAACTTATATAATCTATTTGACTAGTTTAGGGCACTCCGAAAAAAATAGCATAACAATGTTACCTGGCAGACGTGGGTTTTATTTCTCATATTGTTACAAGTCAAATTGCTTAGAATTCCTGCGGCACATGTCACAACATTGGCATCGTTCGATGCAAGAAGCTGAAAAGAGGAAAATAATTTAATTATTCCAATACTGCCAATAAGCGATGAAAACTGATGATAAAATAAAAAAGTAATATACCTGGACCAGCATTTGAAGCAGATTCTCAGTTTGGTCTTGTTTTGTACCAGCATCCGACAAGTTACGCAGGGTCCAAAGACAGTTTTGTACGAGTCTTTGAGAGTTTGATCTCAAATGCATTCCAAGAGCCTGCATACCACCTACATATCAAAAAAGTGTATTAGGCTATTAACGAGGGATCAATTTATTGAACAGTACCAATAAAGGAAATAATCCACTTCCTGCATTATACAACTGGATTTCGTTGTATTGAGAAGACAAAATTTGCATGCAAATTTAAAAAATGAAACCAGATAATACCTGCTTCAACAATTGCTGGCTTGTTGCTCTGGCAAACTGAGAGAACTTTGAGAACACGGCTTGTTGTCCATAGAAGTTTTTCATAGTTGTATGTACGCATGATCCTTACAAGTTCTTGTGGGCCTCCACTTGCCAAAATGATGAGCTGTAATTAAATTTACATTATTATACCTTTGATACCTCAAAAATTCTTTTTTCCCATAATAATAATAATGTATACCTTGCTTTCTTGGTTTCCATAAGCCAAGATCTGAAGACAGTCTGTATCGATAGCCAAAAATTTGACATTATCTTTTGCAAGAAGTGAAACCATTTTCTGTAATCCTCCAGCAAGTCTGACAGCCATTTTTGACCCTTCTTGGTGAAGCAGAAGGTTATGGAGAGTGGTAATTGCGTAAAACACAACAGACTCGATGGGAGAGCTAGAAAAATGATTATAACAGCTTTTATCAACACTGCTTTACTACGCAAAATATGTATTATAATAGTTCAAATGAAAAAATAAATAAAAATTCAACACATTTTAGGAATGATGCCTCATATAGATGAAGATTTATGAAATTAAACTAACAATAGCACAGCAATTTGTATTCCATCTTAATGTAGTTTGATTTATTGGCACTCATTCATGAATTTTACATTTGTGTGGGCCATATAAAACTTCCAACTATGGTGATCTTTTCGAGCATGTAAAATTGAGAGAACGAAGTTACTATCTTAACAATGCGTTTTAATAACACAGCCAACCTTAACATTTTGACCAATGCAGGAATGCCTCCAGATTTGAAAATAGAAAGCAAGCCTTGACGATGATGTGAAAGGTTATGAAGAGCTCCAGTGCAAAACCTTTGTGTGTCAGGATCGCTAGAATTCTAAAAAGGCAAAAATGAATAGTATAAGCTTATTTTCGTATAGTAAAATGATTCGAATAATTTAAAATAAAGTTGATATTTTATATACAATAGGAACATGCATGATAATATAAAGAACAGATTTTTACAGTTCTCACATCTTATCAAAAATGTTTGGCTATAAAGTAAAAAGAACCCAGATATCTCTTATGGAATAGGCGCAATTTTCCAAATCATAATATTACAATAACATTAAGATTAATCGATTGAACATAGAAAACAAAATGGTACATGAATTGATAGGTCAAATACTATTATTAGCAAGGAAGAGATTTAATATAAGATTGCTTTAGATTCATTCATATAGGCATTAGGGGTGGGCAAAATCGAATATTTTTTCTAATGGAATAATTCGAATATTTTTAACGAATACCGAATAGTCGAATAACGAATATTTTTATGCACAATGGAAGGTCCAGAACGTCAGTCGATACTTCCTTTGGAAATTAATAAAGACATTGAAAAATCGGCTACAAAGCGTTTTTTTTACTGGTTGATTTCATCATAATCGCTGATCGTTTTTGTCACAGTGACCGTTTTTGTGGCGATATATAATCTATATTACCGGCATTACCGCCCTTTCTGTTTTTTGCAAGTATTAATTCTTTCGGGTCGTCGGACAAGTTTATATTTCCGGTTCACCCGTGCGTTCACGTCGGTAACAGCTGTTAAAACCATTAAGGATTGATTTCAAACCCAAATTAATATTATTCTAATTTTCATCATTTGCGTTGGCTTTCATATTACTTATCAACGTTTGTAAATTTACCGTCACAATATTAAGCGAACGGTAATATTACTATTGATACCGGGATGCAGATATTTATTAAGACAATACCAAAATTAACTTTGCTATGCTTTTCTATGGTGTCTATGTTACTTTACAGATAAACCTCGCAAAGCTGCGATTGCGTCAATCTCGAATGTTGATTTAAAATGGTGAGTGGTGACTAAATAATTCGGCAATAAAGGCATTTCTGCGTAGCCCTATGAAGAGTTGACGTTAATAAACAGCGCTTCTTGAATAATAATTTACATATGCGACCTGATGCTGAATGAAAAAAATTGCTCTTTTGTGCCTAATAGATTGCCATAGATTGCCAGGAGCTAAATATAACTAACTCTTTCAAGTTTCGACGTTTTCTTTCAAGAAACCGCGATCCATATAGCTAATATCGTTACAGAGTAATTCACAATTTTAGTGCAAAAATGCTCAAAATATAACAAATGTAATCATTTCCGATGATACAACAATTCGTAAACAGTGCGCGTTGTTACATCGAAATTCACGATTGATTTTACGTTATGATTTCTACACTCCACCCGCCATGCATGACCGAGTGAAACGATTACATTTTCGAAACATCACTTGGTCAAGAATGAAAGGGATCACCAAAGAATTAATTGAAAGTACATTAAAAGAACTATGTTCTGCCATTTCTTTTCTGGTCATAGCTTGTGCGTGTTATACTATGTATGGTTTCATGCGAAAGTTATTTCAAATTTTAATTTTTGTTAAACAAATTTATGTTTGGTTCACGTGCCGCCAATCATACGGAGTTTAAAATCTGGGATATTTATTTTAAATACCTCATCTGATTTATCGTTTCTAAATTTAGGGAACGGTGTCGGTTTGGTTCATGTTTGGTTCACGTGCCGCCAATCATACGGAGTTTAAAATCTGGGATATTTATTTTAAATACCTCATCTGATTTGTCGTTTCTAAATTTAGGGAACGGTGTCGGTATCTTTTTTTGCAAAATAGGCAGTTGAAACGAACGATTGGAACGCAAAGAAAACAAATAACACCATAACGCAAAGACAATTTTTCAAATTTGTCGCTTTTGTCTGTTAGCGAGCATTGTAGGTGAATTCTCGAGCAATTCACGTTCGGTTCAGAACGAACGATTGGAACGCAAAGAAAACAAATAACACCACAACGCAAAGACAATTTTTCAAATTTGTTGCTTTTGTCTGTTAGCGAGCATTGTAGGTGAAGTCTCGAGCAATTCACGTTCGGTTCAGAGACGTTCTGTATCCGAGTGAAGCGACACAGATCACGTGGTACCCGATATTTGAATAGTAAAATGCCATTCGAATAATTTAATATTCGATTCGCTATTCGAATATTTTGCCCAGCCCTAATAGGCATCCACAGTGACCATCCACAGTGACACTAGATTCTCATCTGTGAAAATGCCTCTCATGGAAAGATGTCTCCATCAACAATAGCCTTACCTGCATTGCTCTCACAAGCGCAGCAATCATTCCAGGGTTATTCATGATAGCCTGACGGCTTGCAACTTTCTTAGAAAGCATATGAACCATCTGTGCAGCTTGTTGCACGACAACCTGATCTTCATCATTGAGTAGAGTGGTTAGCTCTGGAATTGCTTTTGTAGCAAGATCAGCATCATCCTAAAGGAACAAAGATATTTAGTTTCGACATAGGCAACAATCTAAAATTCATTCTGACATGTGCAGAGGGGATGATTGTTACTGGTCGCACAAATCTTGGGGAATTTTTAAATCTATAGCAACATTCATCATCTTTGGCTCTTGTGTTTTGAAAATCATAACAATAAATGAACTAGGACTGTTTCAATATATTACTGAGTTACAAATATCTACTGAAACTATAGAATATGGCTGTCCCTTCACTTGTGTATGGTGGCCCATTGTTGTCACGTGTAAAATTTAAAAAAAAAATGAAAAAGCGAAAATAAAAAAATAGTTGTGAAAAAACATAAAAATAATTGAAAAAAAAGAAATAAAAAAAAAATTGAAATTAAACAAAAAAATTAAAAAAAAAATTAAAATTAAAAAAAAAAAATTAAAAAAAAAAAAAAAAAAATGGATAAAAAGAAAATAAAATGGTTGACAACGATGGTCCGCCCCGTGGCCCATCGTTGTCACGCGTTTTTATTTTTGGAAAATTTGATGCTGCTTGGGACCAACGTTGTCAGGCTTAATCCTACACGCACAAATGTGTTTCCTGGGTCTCTAACTCACTACTAATTTTCATGAGCAATATCCAATAAATTCAACATGAAAATGTTCTATAAATTCTCCATGCTACAAGTTCAACCACAAGCAATATATTTATAATAATGATAGGAGAATATAGAATTGAATATGAAAATTTGTTTTTACGTGTAAAAGGTAATTGAATTGGAAAATGCTGCTTAACTGCTCAGTTGTCTGGACACTCGTGCGATGCCGGTACGGTACCGTCTGACCGTACCGGTACCCATGCAATCACTCATGAAAGAATGGGAGATACGGATAGTCTTGTAGAATATAGACTACTGAAACACTCTCTGCGCCTGCCCCATAACGTACAGTCGTAACGTACCGATCCAGACAAATGATGAATCGCCCGTGCTCAACCATTTATTTCAATCCATACCTCGACTCACTATATTCTACTAGGATCGAGGTATGGATTGAAATAAATGGTTGAGCACGGGCGATTTATCATTTGTCTGGATCGGTACGTTACGGCTGTACGGTATGAGGCAGGCGCAGAGAGTGTTTCAGTAGTCTATATTCTACAAGACTATCCGTATCTCCCATTCTTTCATGAGTGATTGCATGGCTACCGGGACAGTCAGACGCAAAGCGACTATAACCGACTATCGGTATTTGGTAAGACGGTACGGTACCGGCATCGCGAGTGTCCAGACAACTGAGTAGTTAAGCAGCATTCTCCAATTAAATTACCTTCTACACGTAAAAACAAATTTTCCGAAGTTTCGTATTCAATTCTATATTCTCTATCATTATTATAAATATATTACTTCTTGTTGAACTTGTAGGCGTTGTAGCATTGAGAATTTATAGAACATTTTCATATTGAATATTGCTCAAGAAAATCAGTAGTGAGTTGGAAACCCAGGGAACACATTTGTGCGCGTAGGATTATGCCTGACAACGTTGGTCCCAAGCAGAAGCGAATTTTCTAAAAATAAAAACGCGTGACGATGGGCCAACGAGGCGGACCATCGTTGTCAACCTTTTTATTTTTTTTTTTTTTTTATTTTTTTTTCTTTTAATTTTTTTTTTCAGTTTTTTTTCGTTTTTATTTTTAATTTTTTTTTTTCATTTTTTTTTTCAATTTTTTTTTGTTTTTTCACAACTATTTTTTTATTTTCGGTTTTTTATTCTTATTTTCAATTTTACGCGCGACAACGATGGGCCACCATACTTGTGTAATTATGAGGTAGTGAATGCCACATAAGTAAAGCATTTCAGTTCTTTGTATAACACTTTTTTGTTTGATGGGTACACTGACGTATAATACAATATTTATATCTTAATAATACCTGATAGTTGATAATATTAACAACAGCATGTTTCAGCATTTGAGATGGTTCTGCCAATCTTTGAACAGCAGTTGGATTGTTGGGATCAAATTGTGTGCTCGGAATCTGCTGCATGGATCCATCATCCATTGAGGTTTCAGGGAAAAGAACATCTCGAACTCTGTCGGCGCGAGTACGAGCAAATTGGTCACTCAATTCTGCAAATCAAAGTTTCATATACTAAATAATAAGAATTAACTCAATAGCGCATTCCCCTGTATACTTCAATTCCGCCACCTTCGTTGTGAAGGGCACCACAAAAATTTTCAGCCTTTCATATGGTCTTAAAAATGTGATCACATTAAAATAGTCAAAAATGTGTAAAATTGTTAGGCATAAGACAGTTTCTTGAAATTTTCAGGAATAAAGCTGGAATTTCCAGAAGACAAGAAATATAAAATTGATTTAAACTTTATTGATACCGTACCTACATAAAAATATCGCATTATGATTCTACTTGTATCTAAAAACGAAACTGATAAACATACGATTTGCTTCTTCCATGGTTAATTCCCTTTGCCATTCTCGCAAAACTTGCTCGGTGTCTGTGTAGTCATCCACTGTTCCAGTGACTGATGGATTGGCAGTTGTTGCTCCTGAGTTGATACCAGAATCCCATCCACCTTGCTGCCATTGGTTCATTTGAGCTTTGGGATCTGCCATCGGAATATCTCCGGGGCTCATCATCATTTCCGCCATGATTGATTAGAAGTCCCAACACAAATACCAATGAAATTGTATTTAAAATCTTTACTTAAAACGCTTGTTAAAATTCAAACTATAAACAATAATTCAGTATTTGGTCATTATTTATGACTGGAATATCTCCGGGGCTATCATCATTTCCGACATGATTGATTAGAAGGCCCAACAAAAATACCAATAAAATTGTATTTAAAATCTTTACTTGAAATTGAAACGCTTGTTAAAATTCAAACTTAAAACAATAATTCAGTATTTAGTCATTATTTATGACTGGGTTATAAGTGTATAAGTATAGTTTGACTCCATAATCAGCATAACAATAAAATGACTGTTAAAAACGAATAAATAAAGATTATGGAATCGGGAGAGCTAGTTAATCATAACACTGTAATTTCTGAATATACCTGTATATCAACTAAGCATCGTATATAAATTAACCAAAATCTACAAATTTTTAACTTGACCAAACCATGATACATTATTTTTTGGCAGCGCGATGGTCGGCTTGGTGCCGTACTATAACTGTATAAGGAAGTTTCCAAATAATACTACACTATCTAACTGATATATTCAGTATATAGCTGTAACTTCGGCCCGGCAGTTCGACAATAGCTAAGTACGGTACAATCAAATTTCCCTGACCACTTTTCGGGCTGGCGACAATTTCGTAGACTCGTACTCGAGTGGGCGGAGTGACGCGTTCGCACACACACGCGAAATAGTTCGTTTCATTTTATGTACATAATGAAATCGAATTTTCGACAAGAATGTACGACGATACTGTACCTTAAATGAAAATAAACTACTTAATTCCGTTCCTTTACGATAATACATCGCATACATATTCAGATATATACAAAAACCCATAGCGCCAAGAAAGAGCACATCCATTACGACACTTGCGCTACCGCAGTCGAAACGTACGAGTGCTTTTCAAAATGGCGTCAACCAGACGAGAAAAAGGCGAAACGGAGTCGGGAGAAAAAGTTTGTGGGCGACAATCATTAGTCATCCACGGCGCACAAGTGCAGCTTGAAATTATGACGTATCCAAACAAAACCACTGACTCGCCACAGAAAAAACTGACACGCGTGACTAGGCCTCCCGAACACTCACGCGACAATACAATAAAAAATCGTAAGCTTGGAAAGACGATCGATGCTGTTTCCTACGGGAAACGGTAAAATTAGCCGTGAAATTGATAACCAAATGATGTAAATATTTATTTATCAAAATATGCAATACTGTACTCTAATCAAAACGCACTAATCAATTTACAACTGTCGTTCAATTCAAGCGAATATTTAACGCATTTTTAAATTGATGTAACGCTGGAATCAATTTGATTTATATAATCCTGCGTTTTCATAGCAAACATATTTCTATCCACGATGATATATAGTCTTCTGTCGGTATCGATATCCGTTTTGATTTGTGCTCGTATACAACGACAGGAAAATGTTAAATACGGAATGTTTCAATTAGAACAATAGCTTCATTGTAGACAGACCAGTATAATCCGCATCCGCTCAGCACGTACTTACCGCTGGCTGCAGCCTTTGGATGTAACTCCCAGTGTGTATTCCGCGAGTTGTGCGTGAAACAGCCACGCAGTTTGTTTTGACATTACTGTAATTGTTTCAGACGTAAGTTCGCTTGTAGTTCATTGCACGATGTTCTTCTACTTCCCTACAATAATATAAGACATCTTGCAGGAAATCCTACATTTTCGGCATTTTCTATCCGATACTATCCCGTTGTTGCATCACGACTAATTTTCTCTGATTCTGCGTCTTATGTGAGGCTATTGCCCGACCTCTTTCTGTCTATCCTTATGTTTAACAGAAACGCTCAGAATTTATGTCCTTTTGGTGCGTGAGTACAAATCTAGTTTACATGTCAATCAGAACACGATTGACACAAGTGCTGTTTCGTAAACATAATCCATTCCCACGAAATGCATGTATGTTATCAATAAAACGCGGACATTTCCAGTGGCGGATTTGATTACGATTAGTGACTTATTAAATGCAAATCGATAACACGAAATAAATCTGGGGTTAGAAGCTTTTAAGCTGATTACAGCAGATTAGACATTTAAAGTCATAAACCGACTCAATGGTATTGCTGAGGGCCAGAGCAACATGCAATAGGAATATTCAACAGAAAACGCATGCAAGCGCGCAGATCACAAACAAACTGAGCTAAAGCGATGTCGTTACAGTTAATACTACCTTGTGGATGCGTAGAAGGGTTAGTAAATCGCTAGCTTAGGGAAAACAAAGCCTTATCAAATCGTATAACATAGAATATACGTTGGCCAGGTGCCACAAAATAATTACTGTAAAACAGATACACACTGAAAACAGACGAAAAGCCTGACACCGTATACACCTAAAGCCCGATGAGCGACACGGTCGCGATCATTGCCTTCTAGGAAATTCTAAATTACTGTTCCCAAATTACTTCACGATATCGCAGTAAGACCTATTATCTGACCAAAATATTCGCGTCTCGGTGTTTTTAAAGCAATTTTACAAATTATAAAAATCGAGCACCAGCTGTATGAGAGTATTATTACCTAATTATATATAAACACGTAGCTATACAGAGACAAGATAGTCTACAACAGTGCTCTTCAACCGGGTATACGGTATACCCAAGTGTATACCAGACCATACGTTGGGTATACAACTGATAAAGGGTATACGAAAGGTGTACAGCCTAAATCAGAAAATCTAAACTCTGATATATATAATAAATTATAAAATATTCAATCGGAGACAACAATGGAACCGCACATGAAATATAAAATGTTATTAACGCTAAGAACCGACGTGAGCACGTTGTTACATCACAAATTATATAGATAATACGATCATGTGTCTGGGTTGGTGATTTCGGCTGCCATGCACTTTGTTTCATTTATGTCGAACATTATTCCCGTCGACGCTAAGGCAGTCAGTCAAATTTATAACCTGCGGTCGCTAGCCTATTAGATTGCATGATGATATTGCAGTACAATATGTGCTTACAATTTATTGTTTATTTTGAGCCGCCTTAAATAAACATTGGTATTTGTAAGGTATACAAAGTTTATGAAAAACTGTAAAAGGTATACTTCGATAAAAAAGGTTGAAGAACACTGGTCCACAATCTACATTATGCGCGGCAGTAGTGATCCGAATAGGGAGCGCAGTGTGAGCGCTACTCTACATTATACGTAAAGCTTCACATTATACGTAAAAATAATGGTTCCCAAATCCTGACATAGTTATTGATTATTCCGTTAATTTTGTATCTATGTATTTTCTAGAGATCTGATCCATTTATTAAAACATAACTGATCCCGGTCGTTTAAGAGCATGTAGCAGACTCTGTGAAATTAGGTGCAATTAACACCGTTAATTTTTTATCGCTAAATGTATAATAGCCAACTGCAAGACGCCCCTCATTCTCACACACGCCAAAAGCGACATATATCCAGCATACAACCAAAAAGTACAAGTATACATTTGAAACCACCCCTGTGAACGCCTACACGTCACCGAACCATGGTGCTATATAATGTACAATTCCGAAATGGAGGTAGAACATTGTGAGTGTCACACATACGATCGACAACCATCGGCGTCTTTTCTCGCCGGTGTTCACATACATAAAAGCGAAATCCCAAGGGCGAAAAATTTCATTTGAAAAAAATTAATTATTGTCCGCGGTTGTCCTCAATGCGTTGATATAGCAGCTTTGTAGTCAGTGGTCTGGTGGATTTTGGCGAATATTCTGAACAAAGATACCATTTTACCCCAGGAACACCGGTTTCACCTGACTGAATATCACCGTCAAATGTTATCATGTTAGCCTAAGGCTGTGATATTATAGCAGGAGAAAGTACAGCACATTTATTTTCCATATTTGGTAAACTACGTTGATAACGTCATACTAGCCAGGTATCGTATCTGAAGCAGAACACAAGTGAAAGACTCAAATCAATAAGCCAATTTAAAAATAAATTGAAGGATACAAATATTCAAAAAAAAAAGGCAAAATTTCGGTCAGAATGGTGCTCTCTCGCATGGTACCAAAACTACGGTGCTCCCGAAGTATGCGAACCAAGATGGCAGACATCGGAACGTAACATTGGTAACAGGTTAGGGTTAGGCGATAATTTTTTTCCAATTTTCCTTATTTTAGTCCTATTATCAGTTCGAAGACTAGCCAAGAGTCTCCCGTAGTATTTATACCTAAAATTATGGCCGAACCCTAATCTAGTACACATATTACATTCCGATGTCCGCCATCTTGGTTCGCATACTTCGGGAGCCCCACTACGGTGCTTCTAGTGGGATCTCTCTGACTCTCTCAGTGTCGTGTGTCACGACTCAAATAAATTTATATACGCGTCTTCTCGCAAATATACGTGTTCCACTTTCGAATACTAGCGAGGCTTATTGTGTAATTAGTATATCCATTGTAAGTATATACACTTTCATTAGTATATCTCACAATGGCGGTGCACAATGTATCATCAATATGAACTCCTTTGGTAGCAATATTGCTCTATAATAGTAACGAAATTAACTCTGCAGATTATATCATCTACATGGAATAGAGAGACTATTTCCATTGTTCAGGTATAAGGCTATTGCAGTGATTAAGTTACACCATCCATGCAAAGTTCTTTACACGTAATGTACACAAATATGATATACAAAGTTACAATTGCCTGAGATTCTCCCGTGGCGGATTCGCTACATAGTTTGTCTAGTTCCGACTTCATAGTACAGTATCATGAATGCTTCCTCTTGGTCCAGAAAAATTATCCTTCAATCAATCATTATATTTCGGTTCTGTGACATGTAACAACACATAAAATAAACAGACAAACAAAATGCAGAGATCCCTGAAAGACGAGCATAACTTGAAGTAAAGTTAAAAAAACGTACAAGTACGCGCTCACCCACCAAAATAAAAAAATATTACCAACACACAAAAGAGTGAACGCGATTCAGAATCGGAATACCTATATAGATTATCATTACAAACAATTTGATTCCTATTTTTGAGTGTTTTAGACCTCACAAAGTGCCATACGTGCTCATTCATAATTATCGTTTTTTATTTATTCAATGGTTTAACCGTAAATATATAGTTTAACTAGGTTACTTTCTAATTAAAATTAATGTTACTATTAGCTAATCTATTATCGTCTATCGCAGCTTTTTCCGAACTGCGAACAAACTACTACTCATTGGACCAAATGACCATTAACTTATACTTAAATTTCGGAGACACAACTAAGAACTGAAAAATGTCCAGCAAAACCACGGAAACGAATCGATGTTCGCACTCGTGCTTGGAAATTTGTCTGCGTGAGCCGTGAAAAAGGTGTCTGAGCTGAGCGGTTTCACAAAATTCAATTGTTACATCACCGTTATATTGTTGTTGATTGTTCAATGTTACGCAAGTAAACATGGATGCCAATGCTAGGGAAAATCTATCTCACCCTCATTTCAGTGACAGCAACTGGCGGAAAGGACAAGTATTGTTTGGCGAGAATATTCCACTTTCCATTATATCAAGTTTACACAAATGCATGGTACCGCACTACACGCACACAAAACAACACCGAATTCTCATACTTCGTAGCTATGGTTCAATTTGTATTCGAAATCCCAGACCGCATGCGGTTCCAAAACATATAAAATATGACATCATTTGATAGTGATTTGCTGTTATTTTGGAAGTAAGGTAACGTGTTAATATGCAACCGCGAGCGACATCTATATTTTTGAGAGGTAACTAACTGTTGTTGAAATCTACTTGCGTGAGGAATATGACGGCGAATCCCATCTACACTGACAGGATAATTTTTGTAGTGTTTTGTTTTCTGTCTGTAGGAGCCGCAAGTTCTGATACCATATTCGAACGCAACAACATAAACGTGACCATGGTAAATGAATTTTCTGGCGAAGATATAAGACTTGCATGCTTTACCGAAGAAAAGTATAACAGCCGTTCCGGAAAAGTTATTCCAGACGAAAGAAGAGTTTTGTGGGAATATACCAAAAAAAACTCTGATTCGGGTGAAGAGGGGAGGGCATTTTTCATCTCGAGGCATGTTGAGGTAAGCTAACTTTGCAACTGCTAAAAGTTATATGCTAAAGGGGCATCCACCCATCTGGATTTGACCCTCATCTTGAATTGAAATACGCAGAAAACTGTTTTTGAATGATAATATTGCAGCTCCGTGGTAAAAGTGAAGTCCTGATGCCGGAGCTGCAGCTAAAGTTTGTGATAACCGTAACGTTGTAGCAGAAGCAATTACGTTAATTCAACAACGAGGCTCTCTCAGATTATATAACCCATAAGCTTTGAAATTGAATTTTTGAAAATTTTATTAGCTTATTACAAGTATCTATTCTTCTTTCTGAATATTCGATGAAAAAGATTTTTGATTGGAGAATAAAACAAGAATAATTCGAAAGAGGCAAATCGCAGCCAAGAACACTAATATACTGTACTTGGAATTCCTTTTTTGTTGTAGCTTCCACCTTCAAAATACACCGAAAAGAAGGAAATAGATCACACATTATACACAGAAGGCGGAGAAGATGTTGGCGCAAAATGTATATTTCCATTCACAGCCTATAATAACAATACTAAAACCAATACAACACACTATACTTGTACTGCCTCAGGGAAAAAAGATGGCCGGTGTTGGTTGGTATAATTTTGTATATTCTGAACACTTGAAATAAAAGACCACTAAATCCAATTTTTATGGTATAATTGAGCTTTCGCAAGACTGTTCAAGCTCAGAAACAGTGGCCTTTTTAGTGTGTTAACTATAACCCGAAGGCATTAACTTCTATCGCCCTTTTTGATTGTTTCTCTAGACTAGAGCATTGTTTCCCAACCCGAGTCCGCGGTCTCAAATGAGTCCGCGGAGCATTTGAATGAGTCCGCAGCGAGCCAGAAATTCACTGCGAGTCGCAAACGCTTTTGCGAAACTTAACCATCAGCCAAGTTACGATTTACGTTAAAATTTACATAAAACATAAAAAGCATGTTTATTCACATAACATTAATCGAGTCAATAATTACTGGTTACTGAGTAGGACTGGGCATATATACTGTATTCGAAAATTCAACTATTAGAATAGCAATTTACTATTCGAAAATTTGGTAACAGGTGAAGCGACAGGTAACATGCGCGTCGCTTAATCAAACGATTGGATTTCACAACTCACTTGCGGATTCCCGACGAAAACACGATTCGGCACACGCTTGGATAGCTAAGTGGCGTTTCTCGCGAGCTCGAGCAGCGAGGAATATTTTTTTTCTGGTGTCAATGGTGGCAACCTAAATTTTTCATATGAAAAAGCGGAAATACAAAAAATTAAAACGTAAAACACCATAAGTTTTGTTTTATGATGGTCCGCTACCGATTAAAATCGCTTTTTAGACAATGCAAATCGCAAAATTTCGGGTGCTACCAAGACCTTAGGATTCTTTGCTTTACTGCCTCCACATTGGGACGTACAGGACTGGAGCGCCATAACCCATAAGTGTTGTACGAACAGCTCAGATTTGTCGAATTCATAAAAATACGAATCAAAATAAAATATAATCCGACACTTTACCACGCATTTTTGTGTCCACGGATTGTCATGGTATTTTCTGAGTAGTATTGCTTTTATTTTGTCAACACAACCGCATATTATAATGATCACAATTAAGTTAATATTAAAGCAAGGCAATGAATATTTTTTTTGATTTACTAATATACTTTAATTACGTTTTGAATAAGTACTAAATCAAGTTGTACTTTCTGGAAATTTAAAGCAGATAACAAATTCTCAAGATCGCAAAAAATATTTAACAAAACTAAATATAATCGGGCCATATATTCTCACATTAATATGTTCGCTACTTTTCGTGACATTTTGAAGAACTAATGCTTTCATCTTGTCATAAGTCGACGCAACCGCAAGCCATGAACACAATTAAATTAAAATAGAAAGACATTTTAAATTCTCGTCGTTATCATGAATTGAATATTGTGCGATACAAAAGGCCATTTATACACTAAAAAAGTCGGCTCTTTTGACAAACGCGTAATTGCGGCGAATTTCCGATTTTGAATTTCGTTAAAATTCTGCTGTGTTGGGTTTTATTACTTCTTCACACAGGATACGATTGCAATAAACGCACGTTGAGTCCGCAAAGGTTTTTGCCGGTGAGAAAATAGTCGGCGACCAAAAAAGGTTGGAAAACGCTGCTCTAGAGTCTAATGTGTGAAATAACAATGTTTGTATTCTATATCGAGCGCTGAAATATTTAGGACTAGGTTATTAATCACGCACAGTAACTTAATTCACGCAAGCTTTACTACAGTTTTTATCTTTGGTTTCATACACAATATGCTAGGGTCATGTGTATAATTAGCTAACTGGGGCAAATTGTCATTTATACAGAATTTTAATATTTTCAGGTGTGGGACGGTACCGTTCCATCATAAACCCAGCACTTGGGGATTTTGCCCATGCGCCGCTCCCATTCCAGGCGTGACGTTATACGCAGAATATGGCACAGATCCTGGAATGCCTTGTGTCTTCCCATTCCATTATAAAGGTAAGTTATTTTTTCGGTATATAGGTTTCTTCATTTATGCCATAATCAAAGAGCAAAAACTGGACTGTAACGTTGATTGCAACTAAAAAATAGCTGGTAAATTTGAAGTCATATCTTGTGACGACGTAACAAACGGGTGTCTCCAAAATGTCGTGCCCCACTTGTACCATCATTCTCACGTGTCTCACTGTGCCACTTGTCCCACTTGTACCACGTGTCAAGTGGGACACGTGGTACAAGTGGGACACGTGGTGCAGTGGGACAAGTGATACACGTGGTACAAGTGGGACACGTGAGACAAGTTGGGCGAGTGGTACACGTGGGACACGACATTTTGGAGACATCGCTTAACCAACCATGGAAAGGACGGACCAATAGGGTGATGGCATGTACGAATCCGTATAAGAGGACCTGGTATGAAAGAATTATATTATTTTCAAAATATTACTAACATTCCGCAGAAAAAGTTTACACCGAATGTACTCGCGAATTGGATGATGATGATCGTTGTTGGTGCGCAACTGTTAAATACAGAGACGATAAAAAGAACGATAAGTACGGCTACTGTCCGTGCGCGGGGCCTCCAAATCAAGGCGAATGGGGTACTTGGAGCGTTTGGAAGAAATCTGAGTGTGGAAAAACAACATACAGAACGCGGGAGTGCGACAAACCACCCGGGGTAAGTTATGGGAGAGTGATTATACTACACAAATTAAACTACTGATTTACCTACTTCCAGTCGGCTATAGCTATACTACGCAGAAATATCTGTTACCACTGTCTTGATCGGAGGATAAAGCAAGGCTCATTGCAACAGGGTTTTATTTTATATTCCAAACTTGCAATTGCCTTTAATCAGTAGTGGGATTCAGCCGGTTCGCACCGGCTCTATAGAACCGTCTCACGGAATTTTATGAGATCAGCGAACCGGTTGGCCTTTCTGAATTAAACATGACTTTTTGTAACAGAACCGGCTGAAAAATATGACATTTGTGTGATGGAACCGGCTAACAAAAAATTTGAATCGCACCACTGCCTTTAATCCATGCATTTTTGAAATATATATTGCAGATGACAGCCCAAATTGGACTTGGTCGTCATTTATTTTGTGATGGTTCGTCTTATGAATTCAAACTATTCACTTGCAAGGAATACGACGCTGGAAAAGATGATTTACACACAGTATCTTTGCAGGTATAATCATATCTTATTGCAAGCAATAATATATTTGTTGGTATCATCATTGCCATATCGTAAGTAGTATTGTGATATTTCGATCATAAAATTTTTCGGATGATATCAAATTCTGAGTGTTTTTGATACGACCTCATACATACTGAAATATCCTACGCAAGTGTTCTTTTAAGTTTTGCTAATAGTGACACAAACAAATACTGAAAGTATTCGAGCATCAAGTCCAATACCAGCAAATTTTAAAGATTGAGTTCCAAATCGAGACGCCGCTGAATCATGTTGGAAAATCAAACTGGGATTTAGTCATGGGTTGACCCCTGTTAAGTTAATCCAGTCTGTGTTCGAGTTATTTAGCCTTAGATGACTCAATTGACAGCGAATCCTCGAAAAAATTGAAACAATTCAATGTCAATAATACTTTTATATTAGAAACGAGCCCAAAGAGCAGGAAGAAAGCGGACAGATAATTCAGTTGCTATCAAATCAACAGTCGTGTATGATTCTGGATTATATTCGTGTAAAGTTACAAGCGAACATTTGAATATGTACGGTATTATAAATATGTTTTTATTCAACTAAATTCGAGTTCGAAAATGGCAGCTGTCAGTGTTAAACAAATTAAGGTAGTCCCGTAGTGTGTGTACCAGGTTAGGGTTAAGCTATAATTTTATTCCGATTTCCCTTATTTTAGTTTTATTACGAGTTCGGGGACTGTCTGTGTTAGCCAAGTGAATATTTCAGTCCCTTCACACAACTTGATGTAAAGTAGGCAAACAAAATTAGGTACCTCCATATTGGTTGGTACACACACGTCTGGAGCGCGAATTACCTGTCAGTTTCCATATGAATTAAAGATTTGATAATGCGTAGTGTATACGAAATTCGAAGTTATAATATTAAAATAAACCCTATCCTTGAATCAAAAATGCCTGCGTTTTGCAGTACATTTTTATGGGGTTATAGTCGGCAAAATATTCGATTATTTAGTTTGAATTTTAGATGAAAAAAATATTAACTAAAATGGTAAACATTCCTGTGGCTGTTCGGTTTTGACAATTGCCTGTGAACATATCATTATACAATGCAAGTTAAATATTAGATCATCAGGCATGACATGTACTATTATATCTTCAACTTATAGAGCGAAATTTCAATATATAAATCCTCGTAAAACGATGGCGATGTATTTGGTTAACATTGTGGACAAATCTAAAGCTGAAACAATACTTCTTGGAGATGCGAACGAATACCAAACTCCGACAATGTATGGTGGATATAAATTGAAATATAAATGGGAAAATTGGGGACCGTGTAATCGATGTGGTTTGTGGGTCGGAGAACAGAGAAAAGGAGGTAATGTAATTTTTTCAAATATATTTTGTTTTATATACGATTTGTACACTGTACTCACCGTAGGAAAATCTGGTGGGTTAGAATAACTTTTATGATACGCCTAAATTGGTACTCCTGTAGTATGCGAACCAAGATAACGGACACCGGAATGTAGTACGTGTACCAGGTTAGGGTTAGGCCATATTTTTATTTCAACTTTCCTTATTTTAGTTCTATTACGAGTTCGGGGACTAGCCAAGTGACTCCCGTAGTATTAGTACCTGAAATTATGGCCTCACCCTAACCTGGTACACATACTACGTTCCGGTGTCAGCCATCCTGGCTCATATACTACGGGAGTACCCCTGAATCCAATACTCGACCTGAACTGAAAACCGATCGAGTTGTATCACGAGTACAAAACCTCTCTTTTTAAAATTAAAATAAGGTTTGAAATAATTTTGCATCCAGGCTTTTGTTACACACGAGACGTGAGAGGAAGTATAGACCTTCCGTGTGATTCTCCGTTATTAGAAGAAAGTCAAAGAGAAGCAACGAAATCTGCTCCAAATTATATAGCTTATAGGACATGCCATGTCAATTGCGTCAAGATTGAGAGGTGGTATATGGCTTTACCAAGTGAGTAACATGGCGTTATGAAACCCAGTTATTTTAGAAACACAGACAAAATGGCGGGCAAGCTACGCTCATGACATACCAAAAGCATACGTTAGTACGTTAAAAATACAAAGCATCTTCAGTAAAAAGTATATATAATTGTTTGTCAAATATTTCCTATTACGAAATCCCATGAATTTTACTTACAAAAGGATTTGCTCACTGTATAGCTATAATCGATTGCTAACCACGACGCCCATGCTCCGGAACAAATTGCATAACCATTGCCAACATACCTATCGGAAACAGTTTTCATTTGATTGAACGCTTCTTCCTGGGACACATTCTTAAGTTGTTCCGTTTTATATTGTGGAGTTGGAAGTTAGACATGATAGCAACAGCGTATAAAATTGTTCTATTGAAACATGACACAGGAAGGAAGCCTCCAGTTTTTCTCACGGCAGCTAGAAGAGTGGTCAATGTTCACTTTGGAGATAATGTACGCTTGGACTGTGATATAAATCGCTCCAATTTTCCTGCTTGGCAATACGACCACCCATCCGGTAAAATAAGTCAGCTAATTTACGTACATGAGAACACTGAAACACGCTATATCGATGCGTTTGGCAGATTGATGTTGGTGAATGCACAGGTAAAGGCAGCTTGGTTAGTTTTGCATCATACCGTATACGTTCTATTTCCAAACCCATCGTCTCAATACTTTTTCAAACGAAAAAAAAACTTTGTTGAAGATGTTGTGATTTTACTTTTACGAAATACTGTCCAACAGAAATAAATATATAATCGGCGATTAGAACATTCCGTGCAGCTTGAAAGCAGAAAAGTGAACCTGGAGTCACATTTATGTTTTCCAAGTGAACATTTTGTCGTCGCGTAGCAGGAATAAAACTTAATTAGACTCCGGTTTGGTAGCCGGAGTCGACCATTCGAATGGTGGCTTATAATATGAAAAAACTTTTCTTCATTTGTCTATATATTTTTTGTTTATTGTGGATTATCACGCCTTATATGAAAAGATAACTAAACCATATGGATTACCTTACTGATTTCCCATTTTATATATTATTGATATTATATAATATATTTCGCAAAAATTCGATGATATGTTGACCTCTAACCCCTTATTTGTAAAACTATTTTCCAAAATACATTTTGACTGATAGTATCTAAACACCAATTATATTGCAGAAAAGTACCGAAGGATATTACAGCTGTTTCATTAATAGAAAACTACGCCGAAATTATAGAATATTTGTAAGTGAAAATGTCAGTGATATGGAAGATGCAGTATCTAACTCTCCTCCTTATATAAGGATTGGTATTGTCGTCTTCATAATCGTTACAATAGCTTTGAAAGTTGCAACTACAAGAATAGAAAAATAGAGGCCATTGATCAGTAACCCTGCAACAAACATACAGATCTGATTCAACAGTTGAGAACAGGGTATTATCGAAATTGTCCTCGGGTTCGCACCGTGCTCTTTTTATGATTTTTCCTGCGCAGATGATTCAATGACCCTATTATTAATTCGTATTTGTTTTAATAAAATATTGATGAAAAATATTTACTGTATGAATTGTATTGTTTATGCAAAATGCGGTTTATGAATAAAAGAGAAACTCAAAGCGGATCTGGTAATGACGAAAAATGCGAGATTTGAGCCATCTCCACTACCCGTATCAAGAAGTAAAATCAGCTTTTGTTTCAGCTGAACAATGCTAGGATTAGTATGTTTTTATATTCCATAATTTGCTTTACATCTGTAATATACCACCTTGAATGATAGGGCTAAATTGTGCCCTATTGCAGTAAATGGCAATTGCTTACCACAATACTTGATGGTGGTGAATCGATTGCCAGTCATGTTAATTAGTTGTGCAACAGTTTATTCGCGATGCAGTTACATCACTACAATTTAACTGAGAAGCTTATATTGGAAAACTATCTGTGCTGGGTTTCCGCTTTGAGACGATTCGTATTCGACAACTGCCAGACAATAAAAAAAAATGCGCAATAAATCAAAGAATGTCGGTGCGATTTCAAAGCAATTTCAGAAGAAAGCGCTTGCTTCTTCTATTCAAATAAAACTATTTCAGATAACAGGCGGCAATTGCTCGACGCTGCAGAGTTGTCCTAACATGGACCATAAGCGTCTTTCCTTGTCTTTTCAACCTTTTTCCTGGGGACACTCCTGGCTGGGGTTGTCATACTTCGTATTGGTCACAGTCTTAGAGAAACCAATAGTCTCGCTCAATTTTTTTTACTACCTAATATGTGAGGAAGTTTTACAACGATGTCATTATATAAAAGCTTCTTCCAAGTGCCAATATAATATCATTATTACTCCATTGCTGAAGCTCCATGTAACAAAAATAAAATTTTCAGCTCCTCCATGTATTTGATGGATCTATTTTTTTTTACCAACTTTATCTATTCTTTAGTTCTATTATTTAATCTATGCTTATTCCAAATTTAAAGAAAGTTAACGATGATGTGATGTTATACTATAAATGGAATCAGATTCGAAAATAAAAATCTACCGATCCTCGACCAACAGGGCGTCGAAAAAAGGTTATTTCAGAGCACTAGCAGTAAGTAGGGGAGGAGTCGAACGCGCGAAAGGCACGGAAGTGAAAAATAGAGATTTGATATAATTGTAAATCCAGGCCGCATCAAAATTTACCGAATTCACACGAAATAGGACCGGGGAGAAGGCTGCCAAAAAGAAGGTGGAAGTTTAAAAATGGCTAGCATGACGAGAGAAAATTAAAAATTGCTAGACAATTGTGACTTCGGGGGGTTTCCTGGTCTTTTGTGTTTTTTCATTATGTATCATAAGCACTTCGCATTGAATGCATGTCGTGCAGAACAAATATATATTTTCTAGATTAACGTTTTTGACTTATTACTGTTCGCCGTTTCCTTTATATATATATTAAGTAATATACAGTATATATTTCGTTACATCGAACAATCGCTTTGTCAGGGAAAAACAATTATGCTTTTCTTACAATTTTGCTCACGATAAATGTGCTCGAAAGTCAATACAACATCACATTAAACTACTTCTAAACCTATAATTCTTGTTTCAGTGAGCCAGCTGAACAAAAGCTGTTTTTTTATATTTAAAGTAATTTATTTGGCACGATGAATATTAATTAGAGTAAGAGTTTCGTCTTTGAACTCAAGATACTAGATTTACATATAGAATATGAAAATGATAAAATAAACAACAATATTTATAACATAGTCGAAGTGAATCAACGCCTAGGAAATTAGAAATGATTTGCCGAGTCAATTTCTATCGAATAATATTCAGACTATCTATGCTGTACAATACGAGAAGGATAAGTAAGCTTTTGGTAGCAGTTACAAATTTTCCGTGACGTAGCATTATATTCTCAGTTCATAAATAACGATGTAAATTTTATCTGCAAATTGATATAAATCAGTTTAAATTAATGAATATAATATTAATCACAAATTTGTTATTTGCCGTCAACTCAAAGTACACAAAATTGTGCTAAATTTGTCAAGGCAAGCATAAAACAACAGAAATTGACAGTGTTGTGTAGCCGAGCTCATACACCATGCACGGTTAATAAGTAAAACTCAGGAATTGGTAATATTTGGTAAAACATAATTAAAGAACCTGAACCAATAACAATGAGATACATTTGCATATTTTTGTGTGAAAAGTGTACAAATATGAAATAAAATATAGAAAAATATTTATACAAGCGTGTGCAATATAACAATTTTGAAAGAATACCCAATAACGTGATTTTAATATTATATTTTAAACAGATGAAGATTAGTGAGGAAATTTGAAGCGATGTACTGCTCTCAATTGCAGGAATGCATGAGAAAATTGCGTCCAGTCACCTGCAAAAAATAATTTCAATATCGATATTGCGACTTGAATATGAAAACTAAATCTTATATAAGGTACAATCTATTCTTAGTAAGCTTCTTATATTCACTAGCTTGAGTAATATGCAAAGGAACAGATTAATAGGACCTCCTGTACCAATAATTTCGCACATTCTTGAAAATAAGCATACTGCTAATAGGTGCAAAAATTCAAAGATATCACCACTCACTCTAAATGGGATATATGTTAAAACCATATATTTTATCATCTGTCATCAATACAAATTATGAAATCTTGGTTCATTTATAAACTCATGAAGGATTATATTAAATACAGTGGCGCAGCATCCATCACCGCAACCCCTGCGGTCGCGGGAGGGCCCACAGCGCAAAGGGCCTAAGCGGTTAGAATTTAGAAATTTAAGCCGCAAACCAAATGCCACAGTGCAATTTTAAACCAAGTAATGCACATCTTATAACGTTGATGTTAGTTATGCTCATATCGTTTTGTTACGTAACAATGCCAGGGAGTCGTCGATTTTCGACGTCTTGTGGTTTGATCGCACCAGCAAAATTACGAAGGCTGTCAGAATGATGTCGAAAGCAAAACCTCTCAGTGGCGCACAGAAACGCAGAAAAAGAGGCAGAAGAGGAAGAACGTATGAAAAAAATTGAAGTTACCACGATAAACAGCAAATTTTAGGTTTCCATTGCCTTTTTATAGCGACATGTAATAGTAAGCCCGAATGACCCCGACCAAACCAAACATATCAGCTATTTTGACCCTTATTCAAGGCGAAATACTGAACACATACAAACGTATTTACCTAAAGACATATCCATATGCTTTTTTATTTCTTGTATATCACCACGCAGTAATACAGGACCACAAATGTTATGCTCTATGCAGCGTTGTGCGTATTCGTCAAGTCGCGTTGAACCTTTGCAGGCTGCATTTATCTGCAAAAAAATTGTAAATGCTTGTATTGTAAATAGGTCGCGAAACAGGTTACATCAGGGGACTCAAACTCACGGCCCGCGGGCCAATTGCGGCCCGCAGGACGATAGCTTGCGGTCCCCGCCTTGATATGAAAGTTTAATGTTAGTGCGGCCCGTAAGTCACTCAGCTCAGTTAAAATGATTGATGCATTTAATATATGATCAGGACAAGTAGAGCAAAACAATATATTTTATAATCTATCCCCCGAAAGGAATATGCGGTACGGTAACCTACTAGTACCGTACCTGTAGGCATGATATTCGATGGACCTTTGACCCCGAAGAAAATTTTCTCATACTTTACCATTGCAAATTCTCGGTGCTTATTTTAGAGGTGGCTTCGCGAGCGGAAGTCTATAAACTGGGGTATATGTTTCACGTCATCATTTTATTTCAAAACATTCAACAACCTGTTTTTCAACAGTACCAGTAGATAATTTAAGCCTAGTCTATCACAGCTATTTCTAGACTAATTTTTGATTACGGCAATTAAGCTACGACGCCCAAGCAATCAGAATGATCATTGAGTTCTTTGATTCATACCTAAATTTCTGAAACACAACCCCAAACTAACAAATAGCATGCAAAAACGAGGTAATGTTTACAAACATACTTGAAAATCTTCCTGAGTGACAAGTGTCTGAGCGTTTGCGAAAAATCCTATTGTTACGTCACTTTTTGCGTCTCACTGATTAGCCAATGTTACGGAATAAACAAGGAAGTAGATGCTCGGGGAAGGGTCCATCGCGGAATTACTTACATTTATGTTTTTGACATGTTTTGCGTAAAGAAAACAGAGAAAAGGATTCAACTTTTTAAGTTTAATGCTTTCATTGTGAAAACCTGATGCGGCCCGGACTCACTAAGGCTCCGTCACGGCTGCCCTCAGGTAAATTGAGTTTGAGACCCCTGGGTCACATGCATGTAAAAAAATTTGTACGAAGTTTACTAGCAGCTGCTTTTCCCCTGACAATCGTTGGTTTTTACGCCAAGCGATAGTTGATACAGTAACTGCCAGTAACTAAGTTTTTTCTTAAGTAAGTGAAAGTTTGTATTTGATTGGTACTTGGTAAGCACTATTATGGCATGCTTTAGAGGTGAGGTCGTTAACAAATTCTTCATAAATATACTTACTAACAAAATTACGTCGTTGACGTCCATATTTATTAAAGGTCTTGATGGCAAAACACCTTGACTTTTCAAATCTCGTTCAACTGAGGTCCAAGACACAATGCTTTTGAGAGATCTGAAATATTGAGATTTTTTATAATCAATGATGTAGATGTATATATATAGGACGGGATGCATCCGACGCCTAATTTTAACAAAGCAGGAACAGATCAAAAAATAAACAGGCCAGTCGTATATTACATGTTCAAGAAAACAATCCGTGAAATCTAGTTATTCGCGCATTTGGTAAAAATGGATGCATCTTTACAAATCATATGAATCAAACGGTCTGTATTGTTCTAGAGTGTTTTAAAACTACCTTGCATGTACAGTTCTCAGAATTTATCTCCAAATTTAGCCTACAATGGAATCACAATAACGTTATAGTAAAACGAGCAATCCAACGTACAACATAGGCAGTAGCCTCACCTATCTAAGCTGATTGTATACGGCAATAATTTTTGAAGAAATCCTCTGTTTAACCAACTTTCATTCGATTTCAAAAATTCTTCCAAGTGTTCTGGATCGCCATCTAGTTGAATAAGTTTGCGCCATCCAGGAACAAGAGTGAAATTGTATTCAACGTCTCTGAAAATTGAACAAGTTTTCCATTTTTAATTCTAAGCAGACCGGAATTGAAGAAAACACGTAGTTGAGTTGAATTTTTTCAACTGCAATATAATGAGAAGTAGGTTTTGCAGCTAAAATATGTATATATATATCGGGTTGAGGTGGGGAGATTCAAAAATTGAGTACGAAGTTTGAACTGTACAAATTTGAACATCTCAATCACATACCGTACCAAAGGAGAACGTTATGACCAGTTGAAGTACGAGAGTAACTAACAAGTTGAACGTTATGTAAATGATAAATGGCCGAGAAAACCGCAAACGACTGGGATTTATGAGAATCACACCAAGTGTCACCAAATCCAGAAACTGTATTGAGATGTCGGATACTTTCCACATAATTTGACCATGGTATAGACAGGTTTCCTCATTGCCTGGTGCTATATCGCATATAGACTTACTTATATACGTCATATAAAGACGTTGACACATCATATGGTGATCCAGCATCTTTCCTGTCATCAACTTGTTGTAAAATCCACGTTGTTCTGCGTAAAATCATCCTTTCATTAAACTTCAACCACAAAGAAGAATAATAGCAAGAAATACTTTGTTCAATCTTTGCATGGCATTAGCAATGCGAGAATCACGTCATAGCGGATCGTTCCATCAATTGCTTATATTTTTTTTTTATTCATTCAGCGATCGTCTTCTACGCAGAGTATCAAAACTTGGCTCGAAACCAGGCCACTGATTCCGATTTTATTTCTTAAATTTTGACATCCATCCGAGGTTTTTGCAATACAAAAAATATGAGTCAATTTTGATATTACCTGTATGGCCATTGGCCAACTAAGACAACCCAAGCAGCAAGATTGAAGGGTGGAAAATCAAAGGATTCATCCAAATCTTTGTACTCGGATGCGGAGAAGAGTTGTTTCTGCTGGTCTTTCCTACAGAATATTATTCTTGTTGTAACCTGCAGAACATCAATGTTAATATTAGAAATACCATTTAATTTGTCTTCTGTATTATCTGTTGCACATACGACGTTGTATTCGTTCGAATCCATAGTTAATCAAAACGTAACCTAATGGTGAGAAGTAATTTAAAATTACAGTGTACAAAATATTCTTTTCAATAAAATTTTGACCTAGTAAGGACACGCATACTCACTCCGGAGTAAAGTATACTCATCTCTTAGGTGTTGCATTACGTGCCAACAAATGTCGAGAGTTTTGAATAGTTCAGAACAGTAATTCATAGAATAAGGTTGCAGCAGGATATGGGTCATAACCGGGTAAGAGTGGGTCGGGTATGGAAATCCCGTCCAGTACCTATGTGGACTCCCTACAACAGCCGTCCCGACCAACAGCAGGCTTATTTACTCCAACCAAAAGAAGTATTCTCTTAAATATCTCACCTTCACTATTCCAACTAGTCTTTGCATTTCTTGAAAATTATTTTTAACAAAACGAAACAATTCCGAATTACAAAGTTCATGCAACACTGCATCACATGCTTCTACTATATCTTGTTGGTATAATGGCTCTGAAAATAAAAAATGAAATAATTATAAAAATAATTAAAATACATCCCATTGAGAAGTAAATATGTATAGATTTTATCCAATGCGGTCGTTGAAACTTAGATATAATCAAGTATATACTGGAAGCGCAAAATGTATTGCAATATAATATGAACTTTATTTAATTCAAAGTTGCTTTTATCGATTCACGGTAAGTTGAAATAGATTTTTGTGTTCCTTGTAAAACGTAAACTCATAAAGAGATCAAAATCATGCAATCATGTGGTTTGGCCAATCATATTTTACCTTTATTATATAGAAAAAGAAACTTACTATTGATTGAACTTTCAGGTATTTCTTCCATGGCAATAAACTCTTCCGGCTTTTCGTTTACAGACGACTTTGATTTACGTTTTAACAGCGGGGTATTTGCTTCATTGACCAGATTGTTTGATCTGAATTGAATTCCATACGTTAGACGTTGAAATAACATAGCCGTCATAGCGATATCTCAGTTTTAATTATCAGCAAGCTTTGTGATTATAATTTGTGTTTACACAAGCTCGGAGAAAAGAAAACACTGCCCAACTACTTAAATGTAATATTCCCGAATAGATTGCATGAAAATCATGATATATACCAAGTTCTACTATTGATATATATATCTAATACCACCAATGCGAAAAGGGAGAAATTTGGGAAATAATTCGATTATACAAATCCCAAAAACGTATATTTCGAATAATATAGGCCAGCGTTTCCCAAACTTTTTCGGTCACGGAACACTTGCACTTTTTATCTCGCTTTGCGGAACACCAAAAAATGAAACTTAAAAATGATAAAGATTGTGTAATGTAGCGGTGGCGAGTTGCCAAATGCGCCGCGGAAACTAACAGAATTGTGTTAAACATACCTAGTATGATTGATTATTTTACATATTGCATTTATTATAAATGTTCTATTGTTTCTTACTTTAAATAGTGTGTATATTGATCAATTCATGCATTCTACCATTCTATGTTGTTTACTTTCCATTACTTAGTGCAGGGGTTCTCAACCTTTTCTCTGTTAAAGGATATGAGAAAAAAGCAACACATGAAAACTCGACTGTCATCCAAGTACCCCTGGAAATCTTCTCGTGAACCCCAGGTTGAGAACCCCTGAGTCTTAGTGTTTGCCTCTGATGTCACGTCTAATGAAGATAGAAGTACTTGTCGCAATTTCGCGAGCTGCAGACCTCGGTTAACGAAAATGCCATTACCCCACCCTGGTTAGTCCGCTTTAGGCCGACGGGTGTCTCCAAAATGTCGTGTCCCACTTGTTCCACGGGTCCCATTAAATATTTATAATAAAAAATTCCTATTTTAAATTTTTTAATTGGGATACATACATTAAAAATATATCGATACCGATTTTATCGCCGATATCGGTTCCGATCCGATATATACACGGCTATATTCCGGCACTGTGATAACCCTGTCATAACATGAATAACCAAAATGTTTGTGTGAATGGAAGCGCGACCCGCGGTTTTACTCAGTTATCTTTATCAGGCCTTCCTGTATTAAAGGTTGCATAGTCTTGGTTTAACTACTTAAATCGATTGCACCGTAAATTGCTTTGCAACCTAGTAATGTTTCGCCGAAAGACTTATTTATTTAAACAAATTATGGTAGTTTCCGAAGACGTGTTGTTGCGCACAAGTGTACGGATTGTGACGTCCACAAGTAAATGGAATATAGTGTTTAGTAATCGTCATACACAGTGTCGTACAAGTTTCAAGAAATTCAAGAATAGCGATATTTTAGATCGCGCGTGTTTAGATAGACTGATAGAGCAAGTTAGGTTCGTCAGATCGATCCAGTATTACAGTTTATCGGAATGAATTTTGAAAGCAGAAGAAAACAGTGCTCTATATGTGAAACGCCATGCAAAGCTTCTTTCTATTGTTGGAATTGCTGTTCCTCGGAAAGGGGATATGACTTTGATGCTGCCTTGACGCGTATCTTAAACAAGTTTGAGTCATTAGGCATGTCGTCTAATGTCGGGATGAAAGCGGTGCAACAGGTAAAGAACATGGATTAACTAATTTATCATCACAATCCGCGTCGCGTTTACTACTTTGTATAATGTTTCAGTGATTCGATTCAATTTCAGTCATGGTATGGTTTCCAATGCTAACCCAATGGGACAAGTGTGGGACATGGGACAAGTTGGGCACACGTGACAGGTGGTACACGACATTTTGGAGACACCGTAGGCCGACGGTGACGGGATATCGAACGGTAATTGGGCGACAACTCCACGTTCCAAAGATCGCCATGGCGACCATTTTAGACGTATTTTTGATTCCCTTTCAACGGAACGCTTCGAAGACGCCCACGGAACACTATTGTTCCGGGAACACAGTTTGGGAAACGCTGATATAGGCAAACGCCAGATGATATTCGAATACAAAAACTCAAGTCCTCTCTTGCTTTTTGGGGGATTGACTGAATTCTCACGATGTGTAAAACAATTGTTCCAGTTATATTTCAGTCACGTAACGGGTGAAAATACATTCGATGATGTGCCATGCACCACTTTGAATAATGTATTTAAAGGTAGTGTCAGAAGCTCTTGGCATTTAAGTTGTCATCCGTAACTCTTTGCTCATAGGTAAATCGCATTTATGTTTGGTTAAGTAGGCGGGATCTTACTACGAGCGAGTTCTCTTGATAAATTATCACCAAATAATACAGTACAGAATATCAAAATCACATACCCAGCAATATTATCTTTTGAAATTGTGCGCAGAGGACCATCAACCTCTTCAATATTATCAACGTCTATGGCAACTATAAATTCAGCAATGTATTATAATTATCACATACATATTGAAAAAAAGGCAATAATTTTTTTAAACGTAGTTAGGGCAACTCATCTTTGTCATATAATAAAGCGATGTTCAAATATGTGGACACTAAGGTCAAATGACTATCTTGGCAAGTATATTTGCAGCCAAATAAAATTAAGGCGGGGCACGTTCAGGAATAGGGGAAAAAACAAGGTATTAGCCCTCTATTCGTGTCCAGTTCCATTTCATTGTCCCGTTGACGTTGAATTTGTGTACAAAATCTTACAAACTAAACTAATTACAGAAATATTATAATAATTTTCACCATCTGAACGTGATAGTCGATCCCGCTTAGCTATCATTCCAAAAAGATGAGATTTCTCTTCCGCACTCATAGCTGGTATAGAAAACGGAACCTGGGATAAAAGTAGAAAACTTGTTGCATCAGGTATCAATGAGAATATAGTCATCGATGCAGTTATACTGCAAAATGTTGGAATATGTCCTTTTATGAAATGTAAAGCTTTAAGTATGCCCAAATAGTCAAGGTTTTGGGATTATAAGTCCCTTGAACACTTAATTTATTACTGCGTGGATCTTGCTTGAACTATTCTCCAATTGGAGTGTGAACACTTTCACGCAACGAGAAAAGAGATTTCAAATATCTGCGGCATTAAACGACACTTCAAATTTGGGATATTCAAAAGGAGCTGTATTTTCTGAGAATAAAAAGAAATTATGATTCCCTTCAATAAAACCTACTGTCCAGACGTTTTCAATTATAATGAACATTAGGCTATCATTTTCTTACTTGAATCATTTGTTTCAAAAATTTGTGTCCACTGATATTAATTGCTGGAAATTCTGATTGTATTCCCATCTCTAATGCATCAGACACAGAATATGGATCAATCGCAATGATTGAAACAAATCTACGAAAAGAAAATTTGTGAAAAATGAAATAATAAAAAGTAGAAAGGTAGTGGGCTCAATAAAACTTGGCGGGAGGAAATTGAAATGCGCAACAGTGGTGGCTCGTTATGACACCTATTCGAAGATCCTTTTAGGCCGTATAGACACTAATCCACACCTTGTATTGTTGGTGTTGTAACCGCATGCATGCCCGGTCAATTAAATCGAGTCCTTGTACTTCCGATTTTGTCGGTTTGTGATATTCAAAAATTTACAAGAGCGCAAGTGATTGCACATGCATCTTGGTGCAAAGAGCGCTCAGTGCCGGCCTTAGGCCACTGAAACCTATGCGGCCAGAGTGGGACCCGCACTTCCGTTGGATTTGCGCTAATTTTAGTCTAGGTGATACACTACATCTAGGTCACGGGTGGGCAACATACGGCCCGCGGGCCGCGTCCGGCCCGCGACGAGATTTTGGCCGGCCTGTTGACTGTACATCAGTGATAAATTCATTATATGTTTTTGGTCTCTATTTTTTGTTTAAACTCAATGTAAGTTCAAACTTTACTTTAAATGCGATTTATAACTTCCTTTCTTGCATTAGCGAATAAATATTTGATTAAGATATTGAATACTATTCATGTTATAATCCGGCCCACCGAGAACTTCATTTTCCCACATCCGGCCCGCCGACTAGAGAAGTTGCCCACCCCTGAATTCTAGGTGGTGATTTTCGAAACTACTTTATCGCGATAATAATATTCTCAATGTGGTATTTCGTGAAAAGAGCTTTTACCTAAGTCCAAATGGTAACGAGAAACCATTCTAGTAAAATGTCGCAATTTGTTACAAATTATAAAAATCTTAAATAGATGAATAGATTGTGCAACATACCTCGAATTTGGATCGGACAAAAGTATTTTGATTGCTTGAAGTAAAGGAGCGATATTTTGTTGTGGAAGTTTATCCAGATCATCAATAAAAATTGCGATCACGATTCGCCGTTGCTCAAATAACTCCATGAAATGTACAAGTCTGGATAAATGTCTGAATACATTGAGTATACATTTATATTTCAACCGTAAATACACTCTGTGGGCTCCCTGTATTTTATATGATGGAATGCTAAATAGGATAGGATAGGCAATAATGGTAATCTTTTCTCCGTAAGGATGGCGATTGAAGCACTGAAGTTCCGTAATTGAATCGAAGAAAACAGTAGAAAATTTTTTGTTCAGAAATCTACACAATGGACATTTTAATCCAGTGCTATTTCTTACCTTCCTTAAAATATAAACAATTACACCCGGCTTGATAAGCGAGATGCTATCGCGTGTGTATTTGATAACTTTACAATTTCTATTAATTAATGTATATGAATTAGAGACATAAAAGCGTCCAGGGACTGAAAAGGACTGGATAAAACGTGTAAGCATGCGATGCCCACTTGCGCACCCTGAAATTTTAAAGGCAAGTCGTAGACCAACGCTGCACTTTGCCCCCATATAGTAAACAACATTATATATATATATAACATAAAGTTTGCGCTTATTCATATAAAAAAGATGCAAGCGGCTGTTAAAAATCAATCAATATTTTACTCACTTTATTTCGTCTTTTATTTTTGCCATGACACCAAGTTCTTTTGAAAAATCTGGTTTTGATAAAATTTTCTGAATATGTGCTTTTTGTGAGTTTATTATCTTCAAGATAACTGGCAACGTATCTTTTAAAAATGCAACAATAGGAACAGATAGAATAATTGATCCAATAGCCAATGGATGTATTGTTTTATTATTTCCGAGTGAAGGTGGTGCGGTTCCAACGGTCCCGTTCAGATCTCTGGTGTATATAAAAGATAGTCTTTAATAGCTTCAAATTTACGTAATAATCGCCGTCGTTACTACAAACTAAACCAATGTTGGCAGGTAACATTATTTTCATCAAATAAATTTTCACCATCAAATAAATTTTGGTATTCTATATAAATAAAATATATTCACGCTATTTTCAGCTAAAAAGTTGTTCATTTTTCGCGAAAACACATCAGACTGTAATACTAATATATATATATTGTATTTTTACTTGAATATCAATAGCACATCAAAGTTTAGAAGTTGATAGGTAATTAGGGATCGAATACGATATATGAATGTTTCATCTAACACGTAAAATTTAAATCTCTTATATGCCCAACTTTATTCAATAAAAAGAAATGAATTCACTTTTCATATTCCTCCAAAAGGTATGCTTGCCGGTTGAAAGCAAATGAGAGTAGTGAAATCCCACATCCGAAGGCTGCAAGAATAATGAAGATGAAGACAGAGTAAACAGGAATCTTGCTTCCACATAAAGTCTTTGGACTAAAAAAAAAATTTAAAAAACCGATAAATAAGTTTTATAGGAGTTAAATTTTAAACGAAGGGATTGGTGTTTAGATATGCATAAGTAAATAGGATATTGAGGCCTAAAATCCACAAAAAATTACATTTTGACAAAGTTGTGATGTAATGGGTCGGTCACGATTTTAGAGATTTTTGTGGTCTTTAATACGGGCCAATCAGACTGCTTTGCAATATGCGACATTGCTTGGTGATATGGCAAGAATTTTTTTATAGCATAATTTACACGTAGAAGAATGGGTTATAAATGATGTAACTGTGACTCATACATACTAATACCAAATATTCATTTCCAATTCATGGGATTTTCATAAATTTATTCTTACGTAAAACGAATCTTATCTCGCTTGCTTGAGGTGTAGCATTCTAATTTCATTCTTGGAGGATGTTTTGCCCGAAATATAGCGGACGGAAGAATTCCTATTCCCATCTCGACCGCTCCTACCAAACGTGTGACAAGTCCTGCCCATAAATGATCCGATCCTGAAACGAACAATACGATGTTAGGGTTTCAAAAATGCAACGTAGGGGTGTACAGAGAAGGCAAAATGATATATTGTATATATATTTCTACAAATTAAACACCAGTATTTTTCAAAAGCGGGTTTTTTAATAAATTAATTTGCAATTACTACAGGCTGGGCAGTGGACACCGTGACGCGTGGGTATGTCAATTGTGGGTTCTTACCAAAACTATATTTTTGTATGAATAACGGTTATGCAATAAAAATATTTTTATATTATGACGAATTGCTCTGATTACATTTTTCTCAAAGTTTACCTGCATATTCCAGCGCGTTAAAATAAGCTGGAATAAAACGAACTTCGTTACTTCTCTTTAGCGCTTCCGGTGGATCAAAGAAGATGAGGCGCCATAACATCCAAATGCATAGAAGAGGCCTTCCTTTTGTGATTGGATACCGACGGGACTTTTCAATTAAGACGTCTGGAAAATATAAGACTAATTGATAGTTCATATTGTTTCGAATAGCGGAATATTCCTAAATGGAGCAAACTAAATTTAGAGTATCTAACAGCATCTTTCATAAGCCATCCTTGCCTTGGCACAGGGCAGGCCCCCACTAATGCGGAGTCATATGCGAAACGGGCCTAGTCATGATATAGATAAGGATATCAACTGAAAACGAAGATAATATTTATGATAATGACCAAGGTAGGCCGTGAAGAAGGCCATTGATTGTTTGTAAAATACGAAAGAACATTTTGTATTTTTTTCAAATTTTACTTTAAAGGGGTAACTTTGCTGTGACTATCGTATTAATGTTACCAACATTTCCAGGCTGAATTCTCATATATTTTTTTACTATGTACCCATTTCTAACACATATATATTTGTACGTTTAGTACGTCTGTTTACGCAGATTTAAACTCTCCCGTCCGGAAAACAAACTAAACACTGTAATTACAAGAGGGCGAAAGACCGCATTGGACTCCACGGCGAAGGCAATTTACCGACCACGCAACATTTATTTTTTGTCATTAGATGCTTTAACGAAGTTGAATAGCTCAATAATACAAATGCTTACGCGCAACTTTTTAAGCCAAGTTATTCATATCCGTTCATGCAACCAATTGCAAAGGTAAAATAGACTCATCCGTTCATGCGAGCAATTGCAGAAGCAATATAGACTCAGGGAACCATTCTTCAGTGTATAAATAATGGAGTTTTTAGGCTAGTACCTTTTACTTACCTCTAATTTTTTTCATTAAATACGATTTTCCACTCCCCCATCCAGCGAATATACCAACATTAGCAGGGGTGTCAAGGCACGTAATTGTGCTTGCTAATATATCGGCGTACATGTCGTATCCTAGCATTGAGGCCATCTTGCTGGCTGATTTCAAATCCTGGTTGGACATATATGTCGCCCCTCGTTCTGATTTTGGAGACGTCATGGTGAAGATAACCAGAACAACTTACTCTTGTTGCCGACCAGTTATTCAGATATTACAATTTGCATATTAAATTTCCTGCATTGCCAAACGTAGATATTTATTTCAATGCTCTATATTTACTAGAAAATTAAAGAAAACAATAATACCTTTGGGTTTGCTCCAAACAGTCAAGCTGTTGTGAATCACTGATACCAACATACATAGCGTGCATAAAGAAACTGTTCTGAAGCCGATGACTCAATTAACCTATCAAGATCTGACAACAGTACATATTTAGGTTATGTAGTGGGGTTTAGTAGATTAGGTATGGCTATTTTCCGGCTGTCTGTAGGCTGTAGCTCTGTTTTCTCCATTTATTCCGTAAAGTGTCAATCTGGCCTTTCAACGTCCGAAGATTTGCACATACGTTGATTAGTAGCGGGAATTTCCAAGAATATATATATATACTTATATAGCATTATATATCATATAGAGATTATAAGGCGAAGTGAACATTTAACGATTTAACTGGACAAAAAATTCGCGTCATTTTCTGTTTTCTTACAAATTTAACATCAATAATACAGTAAAATTATTGCAACTAATTCGACCATTTTCAGCTAATTCTAGGTTGGTTGTTGCCCTTCAAACAATCCTGCGATAGTAGTAGTAGCTTGAATTACAGCATGACTAAATAATATTCGTATTTGTATTCACGAGCAAAGGCTTCTGAAGGAAACAAAAGTCCATGGCTTTTGTTTCGATCGTCACGCTAGACTGCTAGTTCGCATATATCCTCAGGCGTAGTGAAACAGAGGCGAACAGACCGTGAATGAAGCTGTAAATACCTTTTTCGATAACCAATGAATGATTTCCCAAGCATGTACTTTTTTATTTATTTCTGCAATATTGAAACAAGATGTTAATGGCGTAACAATGACTATTTTAGGAGGCGCTCAGAAATGAGGATATATTTCTCAGACGGATTTTCAGGCAATGCTATAAAAATTTAGCTTCTCGAGTTGGTGGTTTTGCTAGATATTTTTATAGGTTAAAGTTGTGTTTTCAAAATTTTGATATAAATGACTTCGATGGGTGACTTTGTTTTCCGATAAGTTTAATTTAAGTTGCAGCTATCAAAAAATGAGTCCCCGAAAAAGCTACGATAAACTAGACTAAAATAAGCCTAACGTGGATCTTGCATTATTGGTACCCAGGCCATCGTATGTGGGAAACCTCCCACTAATCGATTGTCGCAAGACAAGATTCACCACAGCTTCCCATATGAACTCAACAGACGAGGTGTATAAAATTGGAATCGCCCAACTCGGTATAAATCTGCATTCGTGGTTGACATGCGATGACTCCGCACGAAGATGTTTCAGTCGCGACGGGATTATTGCTCCACGAAGAACTGCACAGAACTGTCCACTATTGACCACATCAGATTGCAATTAACATCCCAACATGTGATGCTCGTTCCACATTTACAGTACGCGAGTCCGATCGCAACTAATCCGTTGGACAAGTACACTGATGAGCGGAATAACGAACAGATCGATCGAGTGTTCTGCATACATTGGCGCTCATTTTCTCAAACGTTATCATCCCGGCCGAACATTTACTTTTAGAATCATCTAAAAGTTTTACACATCCGTTAACTACATCCCCGCGCAAGCACATGCCAGAGTCACTTTGTTGCACCCCTCTCTCACTCGCATTAATGGAAGTTACGAACCAATTGACTTTGTACGTCAATTTTCAAAGCGAATCGTGAGTATGATATCAAAGTGCTTATTTCAATGTCACACACAAATCTGATAAATGGCCAATTACTTAAAAATTTCGACTCCACTCCATTTCGAATATTCGCAAAACGCGAACACATCGTACGCGATCGAGTATGCCAAGAACAGATTACGTAGCACCTTGGAGCAAGCCCTCTCATTCCCCACAAAGCCCATCCTCACCGGGATATACCTAACTTTATTTCAGTTATCGCTCTTTGAGGGAACGGTTTTGACTATCATGGTTATCTGGCGTTTGTTTCAAAAGTTTCACAGTATGTCAAATACGGCAACTGACAACCGTCAGGGCGACGCCATTAACGACTGTAGCAAACGTACTTCTGCTAGATATGAAACTAGAATAGATGTGACAGATGTCAGAACTAAAGCGGCTAAACCAAAGTGCACCTCATATCTCGTACATTCGAAATAACTATAGCATCTGCTAGTTCTTTATTTTTTCAGTGATGTAATGATATATAATTGTTATGCTCATCACATTATCTTTTTTTCTATGTTGCTTTATTCATATTTATACTACACACATAATGGCTCATATTCACATTTACTTACGGTACATACAATTTTTGCCTATAATATTCAAAGATATGTATACACATTTGTAGTAATTTAACTGAACAACTACATCGACTGAGGGAAGTGACTTACAGGTAATATTATACTGGTGTTAATTAACATCACACCACACTAAGACGTTGGATGTAAGGAAGAAAAATAGCAGCCGGAACGGCCCTCGCAACCGAACGAGAGGCCGCGGACCGGCATATAGTTAAGCCACGTCCCCAGGCCAAATCCTACTCTACATTACGGAGTGGATATAATCCTTACCTAGTTTATAAGCATACATCCATTTTCAACAACAAAGTAATAAAATGTATTTGGAACAGAATCGAGACAAATTGCCAACACAGCTGCAGTTATTTGACTGGGATAAGTCAACAATTCCGTAAAATTTGAGAAACCGCATTTTTCCCTACTTGATATTAAAAAAGGCACCCCAGTTTCAACGCCTGTAATCGTCCCTTGCCTGATAAAAACGTTTCTATTCCGCCTTGCAAAAAATATGAAAACACTCCCTCATTAAGCTTTATTTTTATATTATGATTTCAACCAAAATAAACAAATAGAACAGTGATTTGTTTAAATAACAATACTAAATAAACCAAACACAGTATATAAAAGAACAGAAAATGAACTTGAAATGCAACAACACCAAAGAGCAGCTCTGACATTAATTCGCAATGCAGCATAAGACGATTCAAAATAATCATATTCAAAGTGACGCCGTCTGCAGCTGCTATGGATGGCATCTTGTTATTTCTTAATTACCACCGCTCCATAAGTGGTGGTGAGGCAATGGTTCAGCATATGGTTAGTCAGTGTTATAAAAATCACCCTTGCACTGCATGAATACTTAACCTCACTTTGATAAGTTAAGCTTGATGGAACATGAAATCTTACAAAAATTTAGTTAACTCACATAAGACTATTACAAATTTTTATTACTTATTTTGTCTTAGGAAATTGAAGGACTGAAGCTGGCCAGATATATTCGAACTTGGGGGAATTACAGGCTGGGTGAATCCTGGTTGCTGATGGGGAGGATATTGGTATGAATTATAAAACTGCCCCATGTTGGGATATCGTTGATATATGGGGTGAAGTGTGGAAGGGGAACCACCTTGATGATACGGATTGAACATGTTTGCTGGAGAAACATTGGGGGCTGAGGGATAACCAAATGCAGGGAAATTATTGGGTATGAATTGTTGAGTGGGTGGAGAAAAGGTGGTGGTAACCTGTGAGGATGAATCACACCCATATTGGGCAATGAGCTGATCTCCATCAGTAAGATCAAGTTCCCAAATTGATGAGTTCTGAAAAACATGTGCATTTGATTATTGACATTAGGGGTAATCCCATTCCCGACATGGACTGATAACCGAACGAAATGCCATGGTTCGCCATATGATTAAGCTGTCTTAGCGACTTTTCTCTCCCCTGAGATAAATAACTAAATTATATCATGTAAATCATATACCAAGTACATGTAACTGAAATATTTTTGGTTAACTATTGTCATGCCAACCTGGATTGATAGACAGATGCTAGGCAAACGTATAGCGTTCGATTATCAGCAAAATTCCAACATTAAATAGTTACAAACCTCAAATTGATTGGGAGGTGCTTCAATATGTCTTGTGGTTTTTATTATCCATTCTACAGAAAAATAAGAAGTCAAATCAGAATCATCTTCTTTCTCCCACCCAAAATTCTGACTTTCACTTTCGTTGGTAAAAAAAGTGCCAGGTGAAGTTAGTCTCGCGTAACCCTGCAAACGATAAACAGAAAAAATATGAAGATTCAAAATATTAATGTCATACATGTCTCAAATGCACAAGCCATCCCAATTTAGAAAACCTTTCAAAATGATGATTATGAAGGGTTGAAACCAGAATGGTTTGTGGCAGTACATGGTGAATCAAAAAAAACAGAACCGAGGTATTTGCAACCTATTCTAATCTAGAGAAAACATAACTTTTGCACAAAGTGTCTAGATCTGACATGGGTAAATTACGGCCCGCGGGCCAAATCTGGCCCATTGGGTAGTTCAATCCGGCCTGCTTGATGCTGCCACAACCCAACTAAAACCAAATTTTGATGTTTAAGCTGACAAATTGCTTACGGAATTTGTTTAAATTGCGATTAAGTTTAGTTTTAGCACGAGGCTCATTGTTTCAGCATTTACTTTTGTAACACTGTAAATATTGTTCATAAAATGTAACTTTTTACGCCACACTTACATGGCTCGACAGTTCAGCTGGCAAAATATTTGGCCCCTGGTCTAAATAGATTACTGATACTTTTGGATACAATCATACGCAAACAGAAGTTCAAGTGTTAAATAAACTTTCCTTTTCATAGAAGTAATTGGGAAATTTAAATGATCTTTTTTTGGTCACCCTGTATCCATGTTATATCAGTGGCTAGTTGTGCTAGAATTCTCGCTAAGGCACATTAAAAAATATTAAATCTTGACACCCATATCATAACACTGAGCATAAAATGCAAATATCTCACCTGAAGAAACGTTGTGTCTTGCAAAAACACAAGTAGAAGAACTTTTGAAGAATTTTGAAAAGCAAATGACAAAGATTTTTCTTCTATTGCAGTGGTAAGCCACACACCATTTCTCTGTAAAAATAAATTTCAGTTTTTATTATGGGGTATATTCATTTGTGAAACTTGGGAATGCCATACAGAATAATTAGTTATTTTGAATACAGTCTAAAAAATATTCCCGAAAGTGAAATCTCCAAGATATTCTCAACTGCATCATCTTCAGCAGATATGAATACAGAGAAGTCAATGCACATAAGGTTGACTTTGAAAATTCAGAAATACAGTTACAACTATACTAAAAACAAAAATTTAAAAATGTAGAATGAAACTACATTTAAATCAATTCGAATATTCGATTTGTTTTGGATAGTCCTGGGCCATCCGTACCAATAAGCTGTAAGAAAACAACATTAAACAGACCTGAGAAATTTGGATATTCTTCTGAGCTTTGCAGAGAACAGCTAGATAGGTCACTTGTTTTAGTGGTGCAATTTTAGCAACAGTTTCACCGTCTGAACACACAAACTTAGATTAGTAGGAACACCACAAAACGAAAAAAACTCTGCTGTTAACTACGCCAAACTTTTTAACATAAGTAGAGGTGGAAATTTCAATCGGAATGTTTTGACTATTAACCTGACAAAATTGAAACTTCCAAAAATGTTAAATTCGATAAAAAATTACTTGACAACTAAAAGAAGATTAAAATAATTTCCAAATAAAAAAATAAGATTATGACCAACCAATGGGAGATTGTGGTGAAAGACATGGACTGGAGCCACAGCTTCTATCATCAATTCCAAGGGATGCCGACAGACGTCCTGATAATGATCTGTTGGAGCTAGAAAAGTATTATGTTAGTCTTAAAAAGTTTCCAAATATGTAAAGCTTGAAAACAATTTTGGGGGAAATCTACTGATTATAAATTTATGAATAATTCCATTGTGATCATTTTTTGTAATTTCATATGTTCAATTTTATTCATCTTGTCAAACAAACTAGGTGTTGATAAAAACATCTAAATCAGGCTCGTCCATGTTATACATACGACCAAAAAAACAAACAGGAAAAAGGAGGAATAGGGAAAATCACCTTGATGAACTCATTCTGCTTCTTGATGCCGTATCAGGTTTATTTTTGCTTGGTGTTCTGATTTTAACTCCCGTGAAACCACGCTGAGTATCTTCCTGTGACATAGGTCGAGGACGCTGTCCTATTCCAGAAGGTTGCTAGAAAAAATAATTTGATTGGTTTTCAGGTATGGTTCAGATCCTTTCCAAATGTAATCTGTGTATTCAGACAATTTCGCTAATCACCACCACTGCATAGTCCATGTAACCATTGTACTGTTATAGCTTCCCTCACTAAACTAACCACATAAATGCGGGCAGGGTAAGCCTTGGTGACATTTCCATTCCAGTTGATTTGACCCTTGCCTAATTGGTGATGGTAATTGTGATAATGTGATAATTTTGAAAATTTATTGTATTTTTGAACTTCTAAACTGTGAATTGTTAAATAGCATTTATGTTTTTTTCATCTCTTCACCACCATTAAATTCGACACTTTGATTTTTGAAATCAGTAGGTACTGTTCTCAATGCAGCCCTTTGCAAAAAAGATTTTCTGGATGTGGCCCTTGCAAAAAAACTTTGCCCATCCCTGCTTTAGTCCCATTCTTCACAAATGCATCTGGAACATGTAGTATGTCTTTTCTCTCCTACATATCAAACCCATCTCATTAGAAATCAAACCAGCTTCACATACATGCATATATTATACCTATATTTGATTAATTGGTGTCAAAATGGAAAAAAAGTTGATCATACCAGTAAGTTATGAGCTTGGTCCTCACTGCTCAAGATATTGATAATAGTGGATAAAACAGCTTCATCTTCTGGTAACCATGGTTTCGCAGGACCACGAATGCGACGTAAAAATAAACTGTACCATTTTGTTCGAAGGTCGAGTATCATTTCACACAACTAAAAATGAATAAAATTATGATGGATAAGCTAAAATCTTATTTAAATATTTAAAGATTTTTAGGAAATTGTAAAAACATTTTAAACGAGAATATCGGTCGGAGACCGAAGACTTATTGATCGAAACTGCGGTTTCGATTCATGACTCTATAGTGACACCGCGTGTCCCATCACTAATTAATTAATAACTCGCTAATTATACGACATAATTCATCCAAAATCAATAGACTTCTGGTCCGAGATATGATGAATGCACATGCAAAATTTGGATTCAACCACGCCTTCTTGAGATATCGCGTGCATCTAACAGACAGACAAATATCTATCAACATATTTACCGATCTAAAGATCGATAAGTAATAATGAAAACTATGAATACTCTATGTCATGTCAAATATTAGTAAAAAGAAATGGTTTTGGTTGTTTTTCTAAATCTTCATAAATTTTGATATGATTCACTGAAAAAAATTATGATAACCTACCAAGACTAAAAAAAAACTTTTCAAAAATTCAGTAAATTCAACATGTTTTCATCAAACACACCCACCTGTGGATCCATCTTCAACCTGATCCAATCAGTTATAAGTAATGTTGCATATTTGCTTCCATCGTTATCATCATTTTCACTATCACTATCATTAGGATAAAAAAATTCAGATTGCTGTGTGTTGATATCTGGTTCAATGACTGCTTCCTGGAAGAAAATTTTGTAAAAATACATTTTTGTAAGTGACATGGCTTTATGCTAAACTAGATAGTCTATAAACAAATAATATCTAGGCCTAGTTACAATCGCATTATATTCGAGTATGGAGTAAAAGTTTTTTGTTGATGATAAATACATAGAATTTGGTATCTCGTATACGATGTATGTTTTCTTAGTACAGTCAAAGAGTAATTACTGAAATTTCATTGGCTTCTGCAGAATTTACTTCAATTTTTTAAATTTTGAAAAACCCATTTCATTGCAAGTTTTGTACATTTCGATTGCTGAAGTTGAAAAGAAAAAAATTCTCATTAACACAGTAGCCTATAGTGTCACCTGTGGCAAATGAGCAGGGCCAGTAAACAAGGATATACAAGCAGGAGTGACAGCAGTACAACATCTTGCAGTTGCAAGACCAGAAAAATATCCAGCAGCCATTGTGAGTTCATCATATACAACCCAGTCAGTAGGAAGAGCAAGAAGAGCATCGACTTGTGTGTTTTGATTCTGAAATCAATATTTCAATAGTGAGATACCAATCAAGGATTGGAGACGAATTAGTCATATAGCAGACCACAGTCTCTTGTTCGGTTACGTGTCAGGTATAGTAGTTAAACAGTTATTTGATTTAGACGAATGGACTTAACTGTAGATGTGGTTCCCAACCGTCTATGGCTCGTGTTCCCTTCTCGAGGTCCCTTTTCATTATTCCCAAAATATGAGAGCAATAACAGCAATTGGGCACATTCTACGCCATCTCAATTTACTTTGATAAAGGCAACGTCAATTTCGCCCCATTTTTTATTTCTTGGGATTATTAGAAATTTGAAGACCTTTTCCTGCATCTACAATAGGCCTGATTACATGTCCCCTGGGACCGGTCCAGCAGACCACATATTGGAAATATTTCACGCTTCAGTGATTCGCCCGCGATTCAAATCCGTGCAATCGGTCAACAACATCAGACCACCAATCGAGGAGGTCTGGAAGTGAGCTGCACTGGTCTTGCTCAGTTGCTTCGCCGTGCTACTCGAGAAATTGCCTTGATCGAAGGGGTACGGCAGTTGTTTTCTTTTTTATCTCTGGTAAGTGAGTTTCTTTTTTCAATAAATAAAAATATAGCTAGATAGTGCAAGTTTAATTTAAACCTCTTCCGCATCTATTGCGTCGCTGTTGAACACAAATTTGGGATACCGGTACTCGGACTGGTGGGATCCCGGTGCGGCATGCTGGGTTGTTGTTTTGAAATAGGAATTAAATCTTAAAGTCTAAAGATCATTGGTAGGAACTGAGCGCAATACGATCTTTGTTGATAAACTTCAGTTTGCATTGAGAAATTTCATGGAATTTCACCATACAGCCATACCTCATCCTAGCTGGCACCGGTACCCTAACTGTAAATACCGGTACAAAGTCAATGCTTCAGTTTCGGTAACGTCGCAGTAGTAGGCCAATATTAAATAATGAAAGTGCTTCTATTAACATATGATGAGCCCACTCCACACAAAGTGTTCGATTGATAAACTGTAAATGTTTAAATTGGTACTCTGCAACGTTGAACGCTGAATGGTCAGCCAAAATGATCTAACCCGTCTACCTTTTATGCCTTTAATTAATTTGACCTTTTGTTCTTAGATTATGGGCAAATTTCAACGGGGAAGCAACACCTAATCATATTCTGCAAATAACTTCACAGAACTTCAATCAAGAACGTGCATATAATTTTGATACTTTAATTAACATTTGTATTGAATTTAGGGATTTATTGAAAATAAAATATAAGCAGTGTCTGCAAATCACGACTCATTTGCTTCAGTCCGGCAGCTCCAAAACTGTTCTGATCTCGTTAGTTTGGACATGTAATCGAGGGCGCTAAGTGGTCTTCTAGACCAGGGCTACTCAACTGGCGGACCTTTCGAGTATTGGATTTGGACCGCACCTAATTATTTATTTTGGATCATCAGCCCCACTTTTTGACTTTCCTATCATAAAATGACTTTCATAGTTTTGAATATACAGGAAAAGAAATATAACACCATAATAAACCATAATTTTAATATGCTACTAATCATTAGTCGGTCGAGGAAATGCTCGTTTAAGGATGCCGAAATATCAGTTCTGGAAAGACCGGACCCAAATAATTTTGAAGTTTTGTTTGCGGACCTTCGATAAAAATAGTTGAGTAGCCCTGTTCTAGACTACTTTGACATTTCCGAATCGAACCGGTTCATTGGACTGGTTTTGATGGACATGTAATCAGGCCTAATATGTTTACAACGGCTATCTCGCAGCATTGTGAAACGATCCTGATAAGTAGACTAGGTTTGACAGTTATCCGCATGTTAGGTGGCGTGCCAACCAACTACAATGGTTACAATTCGTAGAACATAGAAGTATTTAAGGTGTTATTTTGATTGGTAAATTCGAAATCCCATTATGATCAAACATTTCACGCACAAGTAACAACTCATGCCACTGGCCCCAATTGGAACCACTGCTGTAGAAGAAGTCACCACCCCACGATGGAAAGGAGTCCAGCAATCCTCATAATAATCCCCAATGTTATTTTAACCCAGAAGCCCACACAGGGTAATCAGAGATGCGATGACGGCAGGAAGAGGATAAGCATGATGCACTTTGCATCAAGCCATTGTCTTCCACCATACAAGTGAATGAACTTAGGAAGTTGAGTTGGTTAGATATCACCAATTGCCTACGTATTGAAGATCAAATTGTCATATCATTGTAAGCAAAAAAAAATGCAAACCTTCCTGTTTGAAGATCTCGATAAAACCGACGAAGCATGAAATCTAACTTTCTTATGTTGTCTCGAAGTGAGCCAGAATTTTTCTCGATCATATCGTAAAATGCTTGGATACGCACTTGCACATAAAGCTGCCTGTAAGCGGAAAATAGAAACGTTTCATACTCGACTCCAGCATTGGTTCAAAACAAGTAACTGATTATGCATAAGTTAAACACTGTTTTGGTTAAGAAAATTTGCATAAAGTAAATTTACATACGACCACTAAATTGCCGAGACTTCATAGTATGAAGCAAGGGTGTTCAACCTTTAACACAGGAGGGCCGGATAAGAGTAACAGGGTGAAAGTTAGCTGTTAAGACATTGTAAAGCCATATGCATAGATAATAAATTGGACTCAGGTATAGGCTACGCAACGCAAAGGATTGGAATTACTCGCATGTACCAAACTAAATTAAAAACTTGTTTCGCGTCCCGCACATCATTCAAAATCGGCACTTCTTTGCAGGCAGCGGACCGCAGTTTGCACACCCCTGGTATAAGGAATATTAGTATAGAAGTGCATGTTGGTAATTAGCATTTGATGCAAGACTTAAATCACTTTATGTCTATATGATCGGGAAACAGCCATAGGGTAGTGAATCCTTATAACTTAGATTCCTGGAAAAAGTTTGCGCACTCGGATAATCGAATCAATCCAATTTGATCCAATCTTGGTGAGGCGGATAACAAAGAGCTTGAACCCAAGATCTTTCAAAAACGAGAAAAAAGTTCAAAGAAAGAAACCAAAATCTGTACATACCTTGACAACAGCCCAATTTTCTGAGTTAGTATTCAAGTCTCTGATATCACTACCACCTCTTGCTCGGACAAATCCTGCTGCTCTCAGTTGTCCAAGTAATTGGGTTCTCATGCCTGTGTTAATTTCAAGAAAACATGATGGCAAGGTGGCAAGTTAACAAGAGTATGATTGAATATTTCCGATTGTGACCAGAATACTTTCACAGGCACTCTGGAATTATTCGTACCAAGATGACACACAACCTGAACAATCCCAACCTGGTACACACTCTATGTTCAGGTTGTGCGCCATCTTGGTACGAATACTTCAGGAGCACCCTTTACATGCTTTTGCAAATTGCGCTTTCAGGTCCTTGATTCAATATCATAGAGTCACAATGCAAGGCTTGAATTACCATTTTGATCTTTTGTATCTTGTTTTGCAAGTGCTAATTTGTGTATCTGTAATTGCAGCGTACTGTGGTTCTCAAAATTCATGATCATTGGGTCCCTTTCCAAAATGTGTAACCCCTGCTATTCCATCAATATACTAGTTCCATCGGGTATTTCAATTGTCACATTAAATTATGAGAAAGCCAACAAAAACAAATGCAAAAGAATAAATGCCTTGCAGTTGAAGATTAAACATACACAATTTACTTTGAATTAACATAGTCACCATAAATATTATCTAGTGAAGACCTTTGCTTGTGGCTAGAAGAGGACATATGTGTGGCACCCCAAATGGACCATTTGGAGAAATCATCAATTAGACGAAGATTTATTGATTGACTTGATTTCAGTCTCAGCTTATACAGCTTATAATTGATAAATTTACACTGTAAATACTGATTGTTTTCTTTATTCAGAAAATGATCATCATTCAGTCTATGATCATACCTTAGAACAGTGGTTCTTAAACTTTTTCGAGCGCGACCCAAATTTGAGTTTTATGAATACTCGCGACCCAATCCTAAATAACGCAAAATGTGTTTTTAATGTTAGTACAGTTTGACTCAAATACAGACAACTATTTATTAGAAACAGTCCATTGACTCAGTGAGATTAATGAAACTGAAATTTCCTTTTCATTATATCTTCAATACACAGCTCTATTTTACTTAACGCAATACGCAAGTTGTCACGGGTATCGAGACGATTGCGAGCTTAGTTTTGATAACCGTCAGTGCCAAATATCCTCGCTCGCACAAGTGCCTTGTCGCGAATTGTAGCAGAAAAGGCGTCCGCTGTCCGTCGCAAACACGACATCCTAGCTGGCCTTCGGTATCTCTCGCAATATACAACTTTTTACTCATCAAATGTGCACACACTGCTTCGTTCGCGGTAAATGGTGCCTCGAGATGAAGTCACATTTTCTCTAGATATTGAATAATCTAATGTCGAGAAGCGAGCTTTTTCATTGCGTCGTCTATTACAATTTACATTACCAAAAAGACACCCATTTTTGGTTATTTTAATCCACTAAGACGACATTCCACGCGGTCAACACAACAACAAGCGACGTTCATGGTTACCGATGGCGATACCATAAAAATAATACACATGACTGGCATGTCAGAATTGTGATGTAACAATGAGCTCAAGACAGTTCTTTCCGTGAATGAAATTTTATATTCCATTATTTTTAAATACCAGAGTTTAGAAGCTAAATTGAAACATTGGGAAAGCTGAAAATTCGTCCTTCTCCTCTTAGATTGCCCTTGCATTGACGACCTTGTCGCGACCCATTTTAAACCTTCCGCGACCCATGTTTGGGTCGCGACCCATACTTTAAGAACCACTGCCTTAGAAAGTCCATTTTTTAGCCACAAACTGCTACAACATACCAATAATCATCTGCATTGTAGCTGAAGAAAGATAATTTTTGTCACAAAAAGCACGTTCCCATCCATCACTTTTTGCTTTCTGCCATGCTTGGAACGAACGAAGTAGACACATGTGATCACTGAATGCTCCTGAAATTAATAATAAGAAGTGATATTAAATAAACCTTTTTTCTCTTTTAATAATTGAAGGACTCGAGACAAAAATATTTAAATATGCGAACCCATGAAAGCCAAATCAGTATGGGATGGCAAGCTTGTTCCTGGAGCTTGGCACGATGAAACAGCCACAGAGTAAAAATAACTCTAAACAACCTAAACTTTGAAATGATGCAATAGACATCGAAGATTAGAAACTTTCCATTCATGTGCCATGTGACTTACGCTGAAGCAAAAATAATTCAAACATTGTAGCTCGCTACATATAATCAGCGGCACTCCAGAAGTGTGTGTACCAATACGGAGGTGGCTAATTTTGTTCGTGTAGGGGGTATATTCACTTGGCTATACCTAATTAGCTTCTTGACCAGACACAGGTGATTTTATCCAAAAACTAGTGAATAATATACAACATACCTGCAGAAAATTTGGCCCTGCAGTTTGTAGCTTGTCTTTTTTCCTCTGGAGCTTGCGGCAATACGAAAGGATCTTTATATGCAAGAGCACATGCTATTGTCAATACTGGGTCCAGACATTTTAATACAACTGAATATAGAACCATTTTTCCTAGAAAAAGGTTATTCCCTGATTAAATTAATACAAGCAAATGGTAGTGAATGGAACATGATTAGGGTTGAAATTATGCATAACAGGAGTTTAAAAGGGCTCAAAGAATTCGCAAAATTAATAGGATAGGATTTACATATTTATCCCGGGGGGAGGAAAGCCAATAAGACGGCTTAATCATATGGCAAACCACGGCCTCTCTTCTGGTTACCATTACATGTCGGGTATGGAATTAGTTAGTTATTTTTATTTATTTTTTCGGAAGCATGGACTTGATGGTGGAGGAAGCCGTAACCGACCAGCGGTTATGTGAACCACTCTATGGCGGCAAGGAGTCCAGCAATCCTCTCGCACATAACATAACTCGCGTGGACTTCGAAACTGCGTACCCACGCAGAGGTGCAGTGATGATCGTATTTCTAATGCTTAGCACGATGAGCCACACTGTCGCATGACCAATTAATTAATAAAATGACCATCTTAATGTGTTGTTATAGTGTACCAAATTTGTCAGAGAGTGCAGCAATTCCTTCAGACATAATTTTTCTCAAGATTCAAATCTCTGTAGGGAAATGAGATTCAATGATAATTCTATTTGAAATGTTTGACACAATGTTCTAACCACTGACTTACCAAGTCTGGGTTCTATTGGTAAATCAACCAGATGATGGCCCAGTTCAGTAAGATCTTCCCATGGATCCAGAGCATCAATGGTCTGTAAAATGAGTAATACAGTATTTGAAAAAAGAAGTATAACAAATACTATTGTGTCTGACTATAATCAAGATTCAAGTTGCAAACAAGTACGAAACGTTGAGGTATGTAGATTTCGAAATTCAATTTACATATAAATCAACTATTGACCTGGCTATTCATAAATATTCTTGAGAAATCTAGACCGCAAGAAATTTTAAATTAAACTTGGAAATGCAGGAGAGTTTCTCAATTTTACAGGTTTCTGAAATCATAATGAGGATGTTTTCAGCTATATTACTGGACATCAATTCATTGAAATTATTCATTCACCAATTATTTTATTCCTAAAATTAATAATTTTTGAATCGGTTCGAATATTCCATTCGATTCTGCTAAAGCAGGAGTGTGCAACCTTTGATACAGAAGGGCCAGATACAAATAAATGAGTGAAACCGCGGGCGGCACCTTTATTAAACATAGGCTCTCTGGTAGTTCCAAGCACAAAAATTGATTGGTTATTGACATGCATTGTTAGGGCATTGTAAGTTGTAACGTCATAGGCATATATAATAAATTGAACTCAGGTATAGGCTTTGATACACAAAGGGATTGGATTCCACACTTACACACACATACCAAATTAAACACTCATTTCATGGGCCACACATCATTCAAAAGTGGCACTTCTCCGTATTATTCAGATAAATTTTCTCAAACCTTCAGTAAATCGACAGCATTGTCCAGCATTATTCTCGATGGAGCTTCAGGAGCTTTTGATAAAAAATCAGCAATTGAATCTGCCTGTTCTTGCTTTAAATCATCAAATTCTGAAGATCCGTCACTTCTACTTCGTCTACGCTTAGGTGGTACTGATAGAAGTTTCGCCTGAAACGAAAGAAAAAATGCAAGTGTGATGAAAGAATCCATTAGTACGATAATTAATATTTACTCTCATAACAAAAATTTAGAATAATTTCATTCAACTAAATATCATTTTATAGGAGTCTCGCAGCAGAGAATAAAAAAATCATTATTCATATTCTGGAGAATTTAAAAAAAACAAAACCAATTAAATCACTATTTATATCAACTTTCCTGCATTCTCGAATTCAAACTCGTTGGATGAACACTGATTTATATGTGTTCAAAGGCTAATTTTCAATACAATAACGCTGGTGAAATCTGAAATTTCTCTAAGTGAAACGATTTTTTACGTATATTCTATCTCTATCATGCTTGTTAATTTCAAAGAAATATAAAAATAACATACTGAATGTCATATCAAATTAAAAAAATAGTTGTACTGAATGTCATATGAAGATGTTTAAATAATTGTAATCAATGTAATATGAAGATGTGCCAGTGAATGATGGAAAAAAAAAATTGGGGTTAAATATTGTGCTTGTAGATCTCAAATAGCATTGTGGGCTGTGGCAACTTTTAATTCTTTTTAAGTATTGAAAATATGAAATGGATTGGTCGATTGGTTCAATTCAGCACAACAATGCAATCAATGTACAATCAATCATACAGAAACATCCCACATTTATCTATTGACGTTATTGTAACAGTCTCACATGAAAAATAGTTTTTGTAATTTGTCCCATAGCACTGTTACCTGAAGGCACAATTCATGCAAAGGTGTTCTCAATAACTCAGCAGTTTGATATTGTGACATTGCAACGTATCTTGATCGACTGAACAAATGAAAACAGATACCGGGTCTGAAAATAAATTGAAAAATATTGGAGGATATATGTCAATGCTGTAAAATATAATGCTGCACTCATCAGGGTAAGGTTCACTAAAAATTGGTATTCCGGAATATTTTTTTTGGTACATGTGAGGAGCTGTGTTCTATGAAATATCAGAATTTTTTGAGTTTGGTACTGCCTACAAAATTTAATTTGACTATTGTTAGGATGTTGGAAATGAATTGAAAAATTAAAGTTCAAGTTTCAGGTTGAATTTATATATTTGAAAGTTTATTTCAAAATGCGAAACCCTTCCCTAATAGTTTTGTGTTCCGTCTCAGCAAAGCTGCATTGGGCTGATGTTTCATGGTAGTGGTCATTCAAAAAAAGGCGCTCCAGAAGTATGTGTACCAATATGGAGGTAACTAATTTTGTTACATCAAGTTGTGTAAAGGGACTGAAACCTATATGCAGGGGGTATATTCACTTGGCTAACACAGACAGTCTCCGAACGCGTAATAGAACTAAAATAAGGAAAATTGGAATAAAATTATGCCCTAATATCTAACCTGGTACAGATACTACTCCAAAAACCTTGATGGCTATGGAGCCTGAACTAAAGACCATCTCGCGCTGGAGCTAGATTTGGGGATAATATAAACTATGGATCTCAAGCTGAATCCGAAGCCATTGTGATTTCAAACCAGTTATCAGCCTTGAGCTTTCTGAAATTATTTACAAACCTGCATCTACCAGCCCTTCCTTTCCTCTGCAATGCACTTGATTTTGAAATCCAAACAGATTTTAAAGTTGAAGTTGATGTTAAGGCTTCATATATTTTGATTTTAACTTTTCCAGCATCAACGACATAAACAACATCTTCAATGGTTACAGCAGTTTCTGCAATGTTAGTTGATAAAATCTGAAAAATAAAAAAATAAAATGAAATTTAGCCTAAATATGACTGGATGAGTATTTCCGAATATTATTTGAGCTTTTGAACTATTATTTATTGAATGTTTTGCATGAATCTGACTTGATCATGTTAACATAGAATTTGGTCAAATTAACCTTGATCTCCAACTATTCTCTAACCCAACATGAACTGGTAGCCAGATGATAGTCTGTAGTTCTCCATGAGAGTTGCCCTATCCTTTCCTCTTCCTTCTCCCTAGGCATGAATATGGAAACACTATCCCAGGTTAAGTACCTAACCTAGGCAATAATCAAATTGTTTTTCAAGTTCAACATGTTTTCAGACTTATTCGAATAATTCATGTTTATATAAGGTTAGTTCAACATATCCTCACCAAATGGCCCTTTAAAAAACGCTAGTCCAAATTAGCATTATTTGACATTTAAGAAAGTAATCAGTAATAGTATCGGTAATAGAGTTCTCCAAGTAATTGGTCAAAAACTAACTACGGAAATCCATTTGTGAACCTGTAAATCTGGATTGATTTATTCCACTAAATTTGTTGAAATGAACTGTATTTAACTATCAAGTATTCATATATGATGAGTTAGGTATTTTACATTATTCATTTAATTTAGTGTGAAATCAATGAGAAACCCAGGGTTTATTAGGCATCATTCCAAGGCTGTGGGTAAGTAAGTGTTGACCAAGGATGTCATTAACGTTTCTGTTTGCGTTGTATTCGAATAGTTTTTCTTAATCTCAGTTAATCCTAATTTAGATGAAGCGGAAAACTTTCTTCTGTTACAACATGTAGTGGATGTACTGAACCGTCTGACGCATAAACTCGGCCAGGAAACATTTTGACGACCAACGAAAGTCAGTGAAAATGCGCAATTCACGCAAACCATAATACTGTCAAAGTCAATATATTCGGTTTCATTTCAATCATCTGTTTGTATATAATTGGTAATTTATACCTAAAACAACCAAAGAATAGTAGAAATAAAATTAAATTCTTACAATTTTTCGATATCCTGGTGGCGGCAGCTTGAAAACTTGTTTTTGATCAGAAGATGACTGCATACTCGAATGCAAAAGAAAGAGTTTGACATTCCCAAGTTCGATTGAGAATTCATCAGATAATATCATCTCTCTCAATGTTATTATATCATCATATCCAGGCAGGAACACAAGTATTGCACCTATAAACAGATGATTGGATGAAAATGACACAATCATATGAAGATACATGTCATCCTGGTACAGTAGCAATCTAGTGTAGATATTAGAATAGGTAACCATTGGAAAGCACTATCTGAACCAAATTGGTGACACAGTGAGCAGTAATGAAGTAGCAACAATATGAACTATTCTGCTACGATACATAAATCATTGATCAATCAAAACAAATTGAGCTGCTTAAGAAATCAAATTTGTGAAACTTAGCTTATATTTGCAGAGACATTCCGCATGAGGTAATTGGGGTACGGCTTGACATTGACAACATTCCATCCAATGTTCACCATGATGCATTGGTGCATCTGGTGTAGTAAGTTACATTTCAGTCATTATTCGAGTAGGGTAATGACTTATTTAAGGTCTGTCGAAGCATTATTTTCACGTGCAATCTCTTCCTTTGCAATTGCAAAACTAACTAGATGAAAATTCCATTTTTATATGTTATATTTATAAAGATACACCTTGTTAATTTACCATTGTCATTATTTTTGCATATCACTGTTAAGAGTTGCATGATAAGATCAGTATCTACTCTTTCATCATCAAAGTTTTGTTGATATTTCGCAACAAGTTGTCTGTCTTCTTCAGACATTTCAAAATTTTGTTCGGTCAAATTAGAATGACGATTGTCTCGCGATTTATCATTTGAAGAGCTGTCATCAGGGAAATTGGCTTGTTGTTCTATTCTAAAAATCAAAATAAAACACATTTTAGACTACCTTAGGTTTCGTTAGTCTTTTTTTTATGAAGTCAGAAAATATATCTTATTGGGGTCTATTGGGGGCTCAGAGATTGCATTTTCGGGCCATGATCAATACAGTTGTCATCCCATGACTGCGAAGACAACTAGGTTACGCTGAACTAAATATATACCAGCCCTTCCAGCTTTGATTCAAAAATTACTATTTTTCAAATATGTTATCAAGGTGCTTTGCTGCGAACAAGGCTCTATATAAGCAGCAACAAAGAAAAAAGTGAGCAACTGTGTTCTTAAGTACCGTACAAAAAGTGCATCTTCAGTTAAAAATAGCAATCCTGTATTCTTCACACAATGTGTAGCAAAGCAACATGCGTAAGTAGAACAATGGCTTTACTAGTGGGTGCTTAATATGTTCCACAGTGCCATCATCAAAAGATAAATCACTGCACAATCTCGCTTCAAACTTACACAGCTGAAAGAACTTCTCCCAAATCTTGATGTCCCAGTTGCAAAGCCATATCAGCAGCAGTCCAGCCATTTGCTGCTTTCAATGTTGCATCAGCTCCGAATGAAATTAATTTTCCACATTCTTCAAAAGCTCCTTGCATAGCAGATGCCATTAATACAGTGACGCCAGTTTCACTATGCCTATAGTCAACTGAAACAAAAAAAACACCCAGTTTTTCTTATAGAATTTGGATAGCTTTACATTTGGTGCAACATGCTAAACGACAGTATATGTGCCTTCCTGATGAAATTTGAATGAATACTCGTTAAGCAGGAAAGATGTGGGACAAGCAAATGAAGCAATACAAGTGCGACGGAAGCAGCAAAAGTGAGAGACTATCACGGCAAGTATGGGACAAACAGGACAAGTGTGACGCAAGCATAACAAGTGTGGGACAAGCAGTACCTCTGATGAGACTGCACAAATTCCAGATTTCATCCTGTTGGTGATAATTATGTGCGAGCAGATTACTGTTCACCATGAAGCAGTGTGGCTCACGTAACATTCGCTGGTCAGTTACTACTGCCTTCCTGCACCGTAAAGTCTATACATCAAAAATCTCCACAGAGAAACAGAAGTCAATTTAAGAAAGCTCCATCAAAATTGCAAATGGCAACAGACCATCTGCATACCGATGCAGGTCAAGCATAAAAATAGAATAACAAGACAGGCATAATACTCTATTTACCAGGAATATTGTCATCAATAAAGTGTGGTTTCACTTTGCATATATAAAGATATTTTAAGGAAGGATTTCTACCATCATTCACTATAGAAGTTCCCACTTGTCAACAACAAAAAAAGCACTCCAGAAGTATGTGCACCAGAAGGCGCACAACCTGATAACCCTAAACTGGTACACATACTATGTTCAGGTTATGCGTCATCTTGGTGCACATACTTCGGGAGCACCCAAAAAAATTTGTGCCTATTTGTTTCTGATAAACGCTCCCACCTAGCTGTCCTACTGTCATTCAGAAGTGCTCCAAGTACCGTTGCAACATGCAAATAAAAAATGATTTCAGCGATATCTTGGGTATTTCAGTGGAAGATTGAAGTTTATTCATCATCCAGTCATTAGCCAATAAGTCAAACGAAAAACACAAATAATAACACTCATTACGTAAAATAAACGACTAACAATGGAATTGATAGGAGGTTGGCAGACCAGCATGGCATTTACTAATTGTATACCCAGTTATTTACCTGGTACATTCTCAGACTGAATAAGATGAAATATTTGTGGAAATGGTGAAGGTTGTTCGTCATTGCTATCTCCATCCATAATAACAGCTGCTTTATGCCACAACGCATATAACGCTTCATCCATTGCTCTTATTCTCCAGCTATCTGCCTCACTTCCACTAAAAATCGAGACAATTTAATTAATTTCAAAGTTTAATTTACACAATAGTCTTGATTTAAAGATAATTTTATTATACTTCTCAATTCTCATACAAGTTTCCATATTTGCAATGGATTGACTTTATGAGTATTCTTATAACCTGTTAAAAGTTTTTATGTGCATAAAAGTACAATGGTCGCCTGAATATTCACACTAAAATGGCATGAAAACAATTGTAACCCCAAAAAGCATACCTAAAGATAGGGAATCAAAAAATCTCGAATAAAACCCGATTTTCTAAAATAAATTCTGATAATTGAAATTGCCGTTTTTTGTAAAATTTCATCATGATAATTGTACTATTCATCAAAATAAAATTTGATTATACTGAACAGAATTTGGCATCTGTTTCGGTACTTATTTGAAATTGAATCACCTGCAAACCGAACATCTACCAAAAATAATATATTGTTCGTTATGGAAATTACTTTCTTCATCTAATTTATCTCATCTCTTAGTTATATATATATTTGGTTCAACTTACCCGCTTAGCAACATATTTTCATTCTCTTTCAATACACCATGATCCTCCTACAAAAGAAAGTATATTTTATAGCACTTCATAATCTGCATTTATCAGGTTTCCAGGCAAGATATCTGTATTGTTGTGAACTATCATCAGTTTAAGTATGGACCCTTCAGGAATTCTGTTCTCAATATGTGAACCATATACACCAAATTGTTGCAAAGTAACATTCAATGCAATGAACAGTCCATTAAAATGCTCAAGATTTTTTTTCATCATTTGTTGCTAAAAGTTGGAAAACAAACATACTTCAATCGCATTGGCAGTATCAGGCAATTTCTTTTGCTTTTCATTCTGCACTGAAATACAAAAAAAATACTTATACAGATATAATTGGAATGGAAAGGCAAATCTATATTTATATACATATGTATAGAAATTACTTTTATCAAAGTCTTTTATGTTGAGAACTTCAGTGCCAAACTTGCCAGTCCTGAAAAATATTATTGATTTAAATGTTTCGGCACATATAACATTGGTAGTGAAGTTACAAAAGTCTTGATGAGGTATTCTACACTTATGAGGCGTATTCCCGATTGAAAAAGAATGTGAGTGGTACTAGGCGAGAGATACGTTGTACTAAAATTATGTATTGTTGGCTTGAGTTTCACATGAACAGTGTTTTCTACAAAAATTTCTTTAAGTTGGTTTCATGCAGTTAGGATCAAAGAATTGTTTGCTAAAAATTTAAAATTCATTCCAAGCTTATCAACAATAGTAAAAGGTTTAATTTGATTTGGCATAGGGTTTTAGAAAAAGCGATTCAGTTCTAACTCGAGGTTTGTAATGAACCTCAAAGATTAAAATGGTTGAAATATTAACCATTATGCTGTCACAGAACTCACATTTTCAGAATATCTTCCAAGTAATATTCTTTCACATCATACATCTTACCAGGTACTAAAGAGTAAAAAATGATTATATTGAAAAAAATTTAATTCTATTTTTTGCAAAACATGAATAATTGACAATTTTGTGTAATATCTTCAAAATTAAATTTATATAAAAGAGATGCCAGTGCATTCCGACTCATTTCCAAATATTTGCTAAGAACAAACTCTCCCAGTATGCAGTGTCAAGCGCACTCAAGTTAACATTACAGAGATACAATGGTCCTGACCACATCAGATCATAAACATTCAGAAACTGGCCTAAACAGACTGATTCATTTTGTAGTCAAGTTTAGGAAAAACAAAGGCATTTTATAACAAAATCATATAATAAGAGTACAAACTTTGACACCAAAGATATGATAAAAAGAGAATAAAATTGTAATGACATGATTGTTGACCCGGTCAAAAATGTCTCTCGATGAATAACACTACGAATCAGCAGGTGGAATGTATCAGCCCCATAACGAGGTAAAAAAGTCAATTTTTTATTTTCATTTCAGTAAAATGCCATTATATTTTACTTACTATTTATCACTGGGCATGAAGAAAAGTAGTTGACAAACAATTCAACATCCAATGCAGCACTCATTAATACAAGTTTAAATTTCTGATGTCTCGGAGATATTGATTTTTGTGACTGAATTAGTTGACGAAGTTTGATCAACAAAAAATCACAAAACCTGTCTCGTTCATGTACTTCATCCTGTTAGAATACAGTTGAAAAAGTTGAACAACCAAACACCATTGAAAGTCACTGATAAAAAATAGGCATAATTTCAACTAATTCGCAGAAAGATCCCTGTTATGTACAAATAATATCAAAATGATTCCAGTTAATTCCAAAAAATAAAAAGTTGCAGATGGGCAGCCAAATGATGAAGTGTTTTAATGTATGGCACAGAAGTGACAAGATTCTTTTCAAAGAGAATTACATTGTAGAAAAGCAAATTTTTCTGAATATGCCATGCTCTGGTATGCGCCAATAAATTCTTTTCATAATATTCTGTGCGTTGTGCTCAACTCTGTTGCCATCACAGTTGGGGTCATATATCAGACTTTAATACACTGGGGTACATGTTGAAATGGAAGATTCTGGTCTTTTGGGAACATGACCAACAACTTTTGTATTAGCAGCTTAGCTGCTTACCAAAACCCTTGTTCAGAAAAGATGCTTGCAAACTTTTGAAGACTTTATTACTCAACTATGGGTAATTTATCCACAAAATAAATTTGATTGTCAGCAATAACAAACAACAGAAACGTAACTGTACTCCTGTAGTGTTATGTACCGGATTAGGGTTAAGCCATATTTTTATTCCGATTTTCCTTATTTTAGTTCTGATACGAGTTCGGGGACTGTCTGTGTTGGCCAAGTAAATATACCACCTGCCCATAGGCTTCCGTCCCTTTACACAACGTGATGTAAAGTAGGCAAACAAAATTAATTACCTCCATATTTTAGTACACACACATTCCTGGAGTGCCAACGAAACATCCTCAAATTTTTGTTTGCTTGTTATTTGACAAATTACTCAAAATTTAAGCCCAGAAAAATAACTGATATAATGTAGCTACTCTTATTTATGTAATATGATAAAAAAAAATACACACCACAATGACATGAGTAACAGTTGACAATGAATTATCTCCAGCCATCAGTGTACGAAGTAATACACCATTTGTACAAAATGTGAGGAGTGTTCTTGGTGAAACTCTGCAAAAAGATTACCAAGTAAATTAGCGGTAATATTAGTGGTGAGAACATTGAAAGCCAAATATCGAGTTGAGACCATGCCTACCACCTCACCCATGGTGTAAAATTTAAAAATTGGATGAGCAATGCCAAATTGAAAAGACAATTGGACTTCCCTTCAATAGTAGCTATCTCCAATTATTTATTAGAATTCTCGTATTTAAAATATAACTGTATTTGACCAGCAGAAAAGAAAAGCTAATGAGACTTCTTAATCATATTACAAAAGGAAGATGGATGGCATATCATCAAATGATAATTCAAATAAATGTGTTCATATCAACTCAATTCTTTGTCAGTCAGTTAGACACTAATCCCATGTAGCACATTTCAAATTTAGATTTTCTGTGATCTTGTAGACATGTCATTTCATGTAGTACCGGCACTCATTTGTAAAATTACATCATTATACATGATGAAAGCGACAAAATTAAAGACCATGTGACTAATATGGTAGCGATTCAACAGAAGCATGCATCAAACGATTGATTAATCTTAATCTACACGAATATTAATAAATTTAGATTCTTAATGATCGATCAAACATGATAAATTGAAAATCATGTTTTTAGCAACAGTTTATTGTTATCTCATACTTGCCCAATGATAAAAAAAACTATATCTAATTGTTTTAGCAATATGCATTAAACTACTAGTGATGTCAGACATTAGTCACATGAACTTGCTTATGTAGAAACTGTTACAATTATTAAACAGGCTGACCATGAAAAATTTTGTCCAGATTATTTTTTGAGTTTGAGAAAAAGATCTATCTTGCTGTAATCTCATTTTAATTCAATTCCCTAGACATTCCCACAGACAAGGTAGAGAGTAGAGAAAAAGGAATAGCAAGGATATGAATAAAGATATATTGATTTGCATTAGGTAAGAAAGAACTATATTCCATAAGAATCAGAAATATCAACCACCAGATGTTGAGGTGATTACTTATTGATTTTTATGCAGGGAATAGATTTGCTATCTACCTACCATAGTTCATAATAGGAATTCAGTGACTTCATAGGGAACAAGAAAATATAACAGAATAATGTCTGTACATTAAGCTTGCAAATATAAAATTACTGATATGGAAAGACTTAAAAGAAGTGGTAAGGATTATAGTGTAGATGGAAATGATAATATTACACTATTATTGGAATACCTTCACAAATGTATTGCCTGTTTGTCTTTTTGCAAGATATGTAATAAATACTGAACATTATAAATGAGACTAAATTTGCTCATGACTCTTTTATTTTTGTTCAAATTACTATAAATATGTCACATTTTAAAACTTCGGTACTCCTGAAGTATGCGCACCGAGATGTCGCATAACCTCCTGAACCCTAACCTGGTACACAACCTGAGTTCAGGTTGTGCGTCATCTTGGTGCGCATACTTCAGGAGGTCCAAAACTTCTTTATAACTAATGTTACTAGCTCCCTTGTAATTTAATGCAGTTTATATTCTAGTTTATAACATTTTCCAAGTGTTTCAATCATTATTTATTCGCTAGTATACTCTAATAAAAGTCGATGTGAAGAGCAACTTGACAATCTAAACACTGCATTATGTAAATACCCCCAGGCTGTTATTGCAAAAGTGCAGAAGATTTAGTGTTTTTGTAAGCAGAAAGATGGCAACTAGTTTACAGTTTATTTTGAATTGGAGGTGAAAAGTTTTAAACATGGAATACAGCCTGGCTATAAAACTAGAATAAGGTATTGTTACTAACTTGGAATATCCTATGTGAGATGATGACAGAATTTTATTAAACAAATAATCAAGCAAAAAAAAATCTTCCAAAAGCTAAAACAGCTATTTAATATTCGAAAAGATAATGTGAAATTATAAAAATAAAATTGCTTAGTGAGTTAGTTCAACAACAACCAAATATATTACAGTATGTTCAAACAGGATTGGTGACTGTTTTTGCCTCAGGCTCTTCTTACATGTAGCATGTGGTTTATATACATGAAAATCAAATGTCATTTTCATCATAACTATTATGACTACATGGATTATTGCCACTGATTTTCTTCCAAAGTTTCTTGAAAAAACAGTCAGATAAATAGTTAGGAATAACCAAAAAACATATTGAATAGGTGACAACAATATTAAGGAACGCAGTTTGGGAATTTCAAACGGTCAGTATGTGAAGGTAATTATTCCGATTAGTTTTCCTAGGTTTATTAAAATTCGAACGATAACTAACATTATTGATACAATTGTATCTATTTTGATGAAGCTTATATTGAGAACTGTTGCTTTTATTGGCCTGTCATGTTAGTTAATATTCAAATCCAATTTTAGATTTATATTTCACTGAAAATGTGTAATGATAAAGTAAGAAACTTTAATTGTGGCCATTCATCCAAAAACAGTAATTTTCGCTGTCTGATTTTATACAAAAATATTGTTTCAAAAAAGTGTTGATTTTAATTTTATAATCCCATTCTTACTCAACTTCCCTATTGGTAATGAGCTAAAAACCGGTGTGAATTCCATCACATCATGTTTCTATTGATAACATTATAATCTAAGGTAATCATGGTAGCACTGCATATACCATGCATTAATTTACTTCCTTGTAGAATTTGAGTTAACTAATTATAGCGAACATGACTAAAAGCTATATGATAGAATTTTTCTGATTTAGTTTTACAATTGGTTATGAATATCAGTATATATCTAAGTGTATGTCTCTATCTATCCAGTATTTTGATATTTTTATTTTCACTGGGTACTATGAATATGATACTTTTTCGTCTGTAAGTATTTAGTGTTTCATATTGTAATCCTTGTTTCAATAAAATACAACATAAGGAATATTTTATTCAATGAAAGATATAGAATATTTAATGAATTGGAAAGGAATTTATCAAAGTTGAAGAAATAGAAGATATTATGGCATCTTCAAGTACACTTCTGTCGCAAATAAATGAGGATTTTCTCACATGTCGAATATGTATGGACTCCTATAAGAAACCTAAAGTGCTCAACTGTCAGCACTCATTCTGTCTCTCGTGCTTGGGTGAGTCAAATAAAGATCCTGCGAAATAAAGCTTCTCACACCCGCTTAAAATTGACCATTATTTGGAATCATTCTATATTGAACTGAAAAGATTTTCTAATATGATTTATCCAAGAATTTAATTTGTTTTAGACAACTCCGGTTGTTACCAAAGCAACACGGAAATTGAAATACCAAACTCCTTATAAATATATTGGGCACTAACGTATGAAGATTATCTCAAACAATTATTAGTTACACAAGGCTATTTCCCATTTTTCTTCTACTTTTTAACGATCATTAATCCATACGCTTGACCACAAAGTAATCCATCCTCGTGTATTAGGAATAATATGCAAGAATGTATGAAGAACAAAGTCAATTGTAATGATGATACAATGAATATAATGATTTAATATTCTAGAATCATGCAAAACCACTGAGAATGGCTCATACATGTCGTGCCCTGTTTGTCGACAACGTACAGTGCTGGGAATGAAAGGTGTCAGTGGCCTCAAAGATAATTTTGTATTTTCGAATATGGTTGAAATGATGGAAAATTGGAAAAGATCAAAAAGGTTGGCATTTGTTTGAGAATTTAAAACCGACTTGTTTTTGATTTTCCCACCATTTATATTTTAAAAAAACAGATAAAATGGAGGCACAAATTGAGTGGCTAAAATTTCTCCAGTTCAGTGTGAAAGCAACCATTCAGTGTCAAACCCTCTGTGCCAATATTATGACAGAGAGACCTGAAATCAGGGGTGTTTAACCTTTGTGAACCTCTCAAACACCTACATTATTCTACAAGGATTCGTCTAACGTTCTGAACAGTCAAAGTCAAGTGTTCAACCAAGACTTTATAAGGGGGGAAACAAATTTGTGCAAACCCAGATGAAGAAACACTGCTTTGAATACTCAAGGACAACAACTGTTTGATCTCCGCAATATGTCAGAACATATTATGGGGTCCCCTTTCAGTTATGGAGGTCACTGATGAAATGACCGAAAATTAGCTATCCCTATCTAATATTATAATTCTCCAATAACTTCTAGATGTACTGATATTACAAATATAGCTGTTGCGCATCTAAAAAATACTTTAATAAAAAGATATTTATTTCCATACAGCCCAAGTCCAAGACGAAGCACAGAATCATTAGAAGATGCTGAAATTCTTTGTTCTACTTGTCCAGAAACAGAGCAAGCTATGGCGACATTTCAATGTTTAGATTGTTTGGATATGCTTTGTGCTGACTGTGGGGCGTTTCATAGCCGGACCAAGCTGACAAAAGACCATGAGGTTTGAGTTGCAAAATAATTTTGACACAATGTTGGTTGTTGCTTAACTATAATTTGTGTAATGAAGAAACAATAAAAAATAATTGTAGCAAATCTGTTTCTTCAAAAGTCGGACGAGATAAACATTTGCCCTAAAAAGTAGATAAAAATAAAACATATATTGGAGCAATTTTAATGAGATTGCTATTTATTAGGTGTAAGAAATACTCAAGTCATATTTAAGAGCAATGTAGGTAAAATAGGTTTGGTGATCAGTGACAAGTCATCTAAATTGGTATTGTCATTATATGTTTGAGCTCTCGCGTCAAAAATTCTGATGTAGCAGACCAAAACTTTATCAATGTTGTCATTTGATTTCGATCTGGGGCAAAGGCATACCAACCTCATACTTATATATCTTTGTTATATATGAAGGTTGTTCCGATGCAAGAAATTGAAAATGGATTACATGAGGGGAGATTAAGACTGGTCCAACTAAGCAGATGTTCAAATCATGAAGTAAGCAAATATTTTCAATGTTCATTAAAATAAAATTTATAAACAAAATGAAAGCAGTTAAATTGGTACTCCCGTAGTATGTGCACCAGGTTGAGGTTAGGCCATAAATTTATTCCGATTTTCCTTATTTCAGTTCTATTAAGAGTTTGGGGACTGTTTGTGTTAGCCAAGTGAATATGCCCCCTGCCCATAGGATTCCATTCCTTTACCTCCATATTGGTACACATGCTTCTGAAGAGCCGTTAAATAGAATTTCGGTGATTCAAACATGTTGAAAACTAATTACTGTGATAAAATGCATATAGCCTATCCAAAGAGTTCTTTATCCAGTACATGAGAGCTTCATAATGTGTTCGTATATATCCAAACTGGAATTTTTCTTTGCAATATTTTTATTTTCTTAAAGTTACGAATATAATAAGGTTTTGTTCAATCGTTTACATACCATGACTAAATTTCCGAATTTGTTTTATTAAATGACTGTAATAAAACGCAAGCAATGGAATTAGGGTGTTGAATACTGTTGTTAAGATTAAATAATCACAATTTTTCGTTTTTTTTCTGCTCTTATAGATTCAAATGAAGAACTATTGCAATGACTGTGATGTACCAGTATGCAGAGATTGTATTGTGGAAATTCATGCAGGTCATCATCTTGTACTTATTGAAGAAGCAGGGAAAGAACTAAAGCATAAGGTGAAACTTTCATCAATAAAGATACTGTTGTAATTACGTTTAACCTTTCCAGGTAGATTGCATTCCATGAAAATCTAAGAGGTCAATTTCTCTCTAAAAAGTGGACAAGTGGACAATATCATAATAATATTTAAACGAGAACAGTAGTCTATATATAAAAGAGTTGATGTATTATTGAGTTTGGCCCAATGCCACGTGGAATTACAAATTCTGTATCATTAGTGTCTCATCAATAATGACAATGCTCTAATTAAACTTAATGACAATTGACAATACTTTGATTAAACTGTCTCATTATTTTCAAGATTTTTGCAGACTTCATAAACTGTCCAAATTACTTCGCAAATACATTTTTGTGGATTAGAAAAATAATCAGCTAATTATGCTCAATCTGTGGCCCAAAACTATCTAAAAGTTACTTAATTCTTATGAAAAATTCAACATGAGAAAATATTGAATTCCAGAAGAAACATAGGATAGATACTGTGGGGTGGGGTCAAATAGAAAATGATGCCTTATTACTTACATAGAAAAATACAATAAAATTGGGGAAAGGTCATTAGAATACCAGAACATTACCTCCCTGCCATAATATTAATATAGATACAATGTGTGTTTTAGGTAGAAGATATGAAAACAGATCTGGAGCAGGATATTCACATCTTAGAAAGATCAATAGAAGAAATTGATATTGCCAGAGAAAAAGAAGAAGATAAATTCAAAGAAATACAAGACAGTATCAAAATCAAAGCCAAGACATTCATTGACGCAATCAAAAAGGTGTGATATCATTGCATAGCATTTGTATGGAGCTAATACTGAGAGTTTTGTACTTGGCGCGATGGCTTGACAATTCCATTCAATCCAAAGAATGTGTTTTTTGCCAAATGTCCATAAAGAGATTAGGATTAATTTGATTCAAGATATAGCTAAATTGAAATACCGGTACATTTAAATCCTCAGGCATATTATTGAGTTGCCTTCCTATGGTTTTCTTATTTTTTACCCTGATTTGTGATATCCAGAGAAGAGATCATCTCCTCGAGAAGGTTGAAGAAGTAGAAACAGAGAATATGGAGAAAATGAACAACTGTAAAGATGGCTTGGAAACTCAGTTGAAATGCATGGAAAACTGTGTCCAGTTTTCAAACCATTTATTGGAGGTATGTCATTGAGAATATATCTGAACTTTGTGTTGAAGCTTTTATTAAAATCATAGATTCGAACAACACTACATCATAAAGTCAGTATTAAGATTTGAATCAACTCTGTTCAACACACTTTGTTACACACTCGCCAGTCGCCATTGCATACAGTGTTGATCTCCGAACAAAATTGGTAAAAAACAATGTATTGTGAACTATCGTAATCAAACATACACAGCAAAATAAACACTTTATTCATGATTTTTCAACAAATGAGAAGACTAATAATAACTATTTCCTCCATTTTTTAGAACAGCACTTCTTTTGAAGTCGTAACAATGCAACGACAGATTACAGAAACTGCGAAAGAACTCCAGACGAAGACGAAAGAAGTATTGGAAAGAAATGATGAGACAATCAAGTCTTGCACTGATATCAAGTAAAATTCATATATATTTTTTCATCTCAAGTATTTTTATGTTGAAAACAGGCAGTTTGAGAGAATCCAAACACAAAAAATGATTTGGCTTGAAACACATAAACATAGATCATGAAAATCAATTAATACTTTTATATCTAAATACAGAGTTAATTTTGGGAGCCCAGAAGACATATGGGAGATTTTTGGAAATATCGAAATAGGTAAGGGTGCTTAATTAATCATGTTGAAGGCTCAATCTAGTATATTAAGTGAAGCATTATGTTCCCACTGCTATTCAATTATTTTATTTAAGCAGGCAATGAGGAAATCAACAAGACGAAGATAAAGAATGTTTTAGATGATTCAACAAAGTCCAATTCTGACAAAGAAACGAGTCCAAAAATTCAACCAAAACCCACTCCAAGAAGACATACAGGTATTACAGCAGATATGAAAAAAGAACGAAGCAAATTCACTTTGCCTAAACCCCCACAACCAACAACAAGAAGATCATCAAATCATTCAATTCAATCAATGGAACTAGATGTAGATGAATCTGCAAATGATTCTCCCAAACCAGCAATTAGGCGTTCATCTGAAGAAATGAAACTTGAAAGACAAAGCAGTCTGATCGTAGAAGTGCTACCCCATACTCTAGGTAGACCGTCAAAATCGAACTTGAAGCAAAGTCAAGAAAAAGCAAGAAGTGTTATGAACTTGAGCACAGGTGATGGAGGCTTATCTCCAGCACGAGCTGCCCCAGTGCCACCACCATTGTCTCCACTGCCTAAAAGGGTAGAGTCACTAAGAAAAAAGAAAGCACCAAAGCCACCACGTAAAAGTGGCAAGGTGCCACTGATGCCACCACCATTGCCACCTCCTCAAAACAAGAAGCCACTTCTGAAGACCAACTATCTTACACCAATTGAAGCAAAAAGATTGGTGAAATTCGGACGAAAAGGGAAAATAATAACAAATGGCGAATTTTCAGGACCACCAAGATATGCAATTTTTAGTAAAGTTAAGAAGAAAATTCTTGTACTTGATGGCGAAAACCGACATATCCTAATATTCAGTGTAGAAGGCTTCTTTAAGAAAAGCTTCCGTGTAGTGATACCTGACCAAGGTAAAAACAACAATAAATACAAAATAGGTAAAAAAATATGAAAAATAGATGTGGTTTGTGTATTGTAGAATTACGATTGCATGGGTGCCTAAGGTTTATAATGTTAACAACAGTAATTGCTTTTGTTCACCAATAGTTAACATTCGTATTTGAATCATTGCATATATGATACTTTAATTATCAGAAATTCTAATCCTAATTTTCTATCTACATTTGACTGGCTGGTGTTCTACATATAACAACGTCTCGACAAAAATTCATCAACTGTTTTGTTACTTCATATATTAATAGCACAAGCGAAACCAATAGCAATTGCAGAAGCCGGAACAAATCACATTCTGGTCTTATTTAAAAATTTTATCACAAATTGGAGTTGGGATGGTGAGATGGAAGATATCTGGGGGACAACAGAACTCATCGATGCAACTTCTATTGCAAATGACAGTCAAGGTAAGAATTCCCAACAAACAATTAACGAATATCCATGCACTTTATTGGTCTGCCAGATCCCCTCTTTTAGCATATAATGCCAGTTCGTCAATAAAAGGAAAGGCAATAATCATTCAATAAGGCACAGGATAATTGAAGAGAGAGATCAAATGATTGTTGGCCCTTGAATGCTGTTCATTGCAATGTCAAATATTTTTGTTGCCTGGTCACTGTGCTCCCCCAGTGTCCTAAAGTAACCATAACTAGCTGAACAACAACCTAAGTGGTCGGAGTCAGGATAAAAGTGATATGAGTTTATCACAAGTTAGTATATGACTTTAATAAGTACTTTTAATAAGAGTTTAAGCCAAGAATACCGAATTTTGTTTAAACCTTTCAATACAACAAAACCTTGCATATCAAAAATGTGTATCTACCACAGGACGAATATTTGTCAGTGACCAAGAGAAACACATGATATTTGTATATGATCCCCATACAAAACATAAAGAGATGCAAATTGGAGGATTTGGAGACAGAGATGACTTGTTTAAAAGTCCAAGGTGAGTGCATACAGAAGCAAAACATAATGAACTGCTTGATGAACATCTTTACTATCGATAACTCTCAATAACATTTATTTCTAACAGGTTCTCTTATGGCAATAACATGAATTGTTTCGGTGTTGTTGGTATCTATTGATCTTTTCACTTTAGTTGAAGGCTCACAGTTTAGCCTTGATAGTTTTTACTCTATATAGATTACATTCTCTATTACAGGAATATTTGCATAAACCAATTTGATGACGTAATTGTATCAGATCACCACAACCATTGCATTAAGGTGTTCAATAAAGATGGAAGCTTTTTATACAAATTTGGAGAGAGAGGTAGGAAACACGATACCTAAGGAAAGACCATGTTTTATTAATGAAGCTAGCATAAGATATTTTGTCATGTTCAAACTGTTCATATTGACAATGACAAAAATTTAAAATCTTTTTCTTTTCAACACAACAGGAACTAAAGATGGTGAATTAAAATATCCTGAAGGTGTTGCATGCTTCCAGTTGGAAGATGGAAAAGATGGGATACTTGTTGCAGATGATGGAAATTGTAGAGTGTCACTATTCACTTCAGAAGGAAAGTTTTTGAGTCAAGTTTTAACAAAAGATGAGGACAAGGGACTAAAAAGCCCACAATGTGTTTCAGTGTCTTCCACTGGTGAAGAAATGCTTATAAGACAAACAAATCTGTTACAAATTCGGGTATACAAATTAATCAAAGTTGAAAAATGATATCATACAATAATGCTCAAGACATGCACCAGTATTTAAATTTGTCAAAAATTTGAGCAGACTTCTTCAAAATGAAAAGTTGGTTTAAATATAGTTTCAGTTTAAGTGTATAGTATGCTTTAAAACGGGGGTTCTCAACCTGGGGTTCGCGAACCCATTTCCAGGGGTACTTTGATGGCAGTTGAGATTTCATTTGTTGCTATTTTTTAATATCCTTCACTACCAGAGAAAAATGCGCGCCTATTGAAACCCAACGCAGGTTTTCCCTGGTCTTGCGTTGTTGTGATGCAACAATGTGGAATCCACGACTTTCCAGCCAAACTGTGAAATCTCAAAAGACAATGTACTGCAAGCATTGCAGAAAGTGATATGCTAATCGGAACTTAAGAGATATTTTAAGATTTCATTCGTTAGGCGGAGAACAAGGGCAATAACATCAACACACAGAATTAATTTGGTTACAGCATTTGGTCAATAAATTGTTGTTGCAGCAAATAGTTAGTCAGTATATCACAACTTTGTTTGGTGTCTGATTACTGGGGGTTTGGGTTTCTTTTTTTCGTGACTCGGGGGTACTTAACAAGAAAAAGGTTGAGAACCCCTGCATTGAAACATGGATGCTTTTCTGTGAATCAATGGTGTAATACGATTATGAATGTGATATTGTTTTTATATTTCTGTAACTTTGTTTTAAAGTTCCGCTTGCACTGTGTATAAATATAGTAATAATTTATCGATTGAACTAGTAAATAAATAGAATTCAACCACATATCAGTAGTGTTCAAAATGATAGCTGTTCAACTGGACGATGGGAGTACAAGCAACTATCAGCCAGGCCCATGATTATTATATTACTGAGCATTTCACATGTTGCTAATAATATGATTACTATTTACATATATTCCATAATCATAACACAAGTACCGTATATTTATGTCAAAAGTTATTGCAAGCCCTGTGCAGTTGTTTTTTATTTAGTCTGCAATCGCAAGTGTAATTTTATGAAGGGTCATATGCATTAATTGTTCCGAAGGCGAAGGATTTGAGTTTTAAAAATTATCAGCCTTTTTTAAAATGTGATGAGATATTTGTTGTTAGTAATCGACAATCATATATCTATTCTTCATTCGTCAGACCGTATACCACTGGATCAAAATTTAATGATTGATTGAATACTTGATTAGTAACAAAAGAGTGAAAAATTTTTATTGCACCGCTGTGCATAACAGTATTCAATGCTTTGATTCAATATCATAATTTATACCCTAACCTGCTTTCCAACCGAATTTGATATCCGACAGTATGTCCAACACATTCTCCTCTTTCTGCTGCTACACGTTCTGCCATGGCCACAGCAGATATTCTTCGTGGTTGAGCACAAAGAATCCTGCATCTCTTTTCTCCACGGGCATAACAATCATCAAGAATAAATTGTGGGATCTGAGTGAAAAAATGCATGCATAAAATTATCAAAAAGGCGCAATAGTATATCATAACAAATTAGTTGAACATTTGAAAGTATTTTCTTTATACAAGGAAAAAGTTTGTAGGAATTCAGACAATGGAAATTACCTTCTCCAATAAAATGCTACCTTTTAAATTACCTGTGTTGTTTTCCCTGATCCAGTCGCTCCACATATCAAAACAACAGGATATTTTTCAACAGCAGCAACAAGTTGTTCAGCCATACCGGCAACAGGCAGAGTTTTTCTGAAAGCATCAAGATCAGACCTCCCCCTCTTAACAGGAACTTGAGGGATTCCATTGTTTAGTCTACCACTTGTTTTGCTTGCATCTGGTCGAAATCCTGCATGATAAATTAGTGTAGAGACAGCATAAATTATTTTCATAACATCAAGAAATATACAATCCTTCGAATCAAAAAATGATTGCCAATGATTACCTTAGCCTCTGAACTCTTATTAAAATTGTACATTATATGTAATAGTAATAGTCTATCTATGTAAATGCAAGAAGATAAAGTAAAAAGCTATGGCAACGATTGCTTGAACACAACCAAGTCAACACAATTACGAAGCTGTATGTGATTCAAGATTTAAAAATGAAGTAAGGTAAATCTTTGTCACTCTAAGTTGATTTCAATCCATTTTGTATGCAGATAAAATGAGCATGTATCACAGAGTATGAAAGTATATGCAATGCCTTTTATAGTAAGACTCATTCTTAGCAGCAGTGTTCACTATTAGCGCAACTTTTTTTAGGGACTGCGAAATAGCACTTTTTTCCGATTTTAAAGAGAAATAGCACTTTTTTCTGATTTTGAAAGGAAAAAAATTCAAAATTGAAAAATATGTTTATGTGAGTCTTAAGTTGTCAAATAAGTAACATACCAGTACTTTTGTAACTCAATTCTGCATATCATAACGATATTTACCAGAATTCTAACCTATGAGATGCAGACATAGAAGATAAAGCTTTTGCATTAACCGCAAAATTCTTGTTAATAATATGATTATTATACAAGCACGCGTATTCCGCTTCTCCCGCAAAACGCTCCAACGGCGTAATCGCGGTGAGTTTCTTTGAACGAGAGTGTGGTCATGTGACATCCACGAATTGCCACAAAATGAAACGATTTTCTGGTGCAAGTTTGACGGGCCTTTGTTCCCTTCTTAAGAGATTTTACTGGATTTAGAAAGTTCTGAAACCCGACACGACATTATTTAGTAATATAAAGTACGCTTATGCAGTTATTTTTTGAATTAGAAGAAACATTGTAACCAGGAATGTTAAAAGCACGTGGCATTTTTCGGAATTTTGCGACATTGCATCCATTTCTCATTGATATGCGAGGTTATGATATTAATGTCCAGAATATTTGTGACCGTAATACAATTAAAACCGACAGACTTTTGTCATTACCATATCTTATCTTTATTATTTAGCGCTGATAATGATAAATAAGAATGTGTAATTGTAATTGTTGATTGCAATTCCGGAGGCGTATTTTCCTTCCTCTCCATGAAACAGACATGAAACGAATTTTACCGCCGTCGTGGGTGCATAAAAGGAGAGAAGGGTTATAAGTTAATTTAAGGACGTACTTTTCCCGACTCGATCACTTTTATGGATACGAATCACAGCCCATTTAAAAGCCATATAGAATTTAATAACATTAATTTACAACGATTTACGGGTAAGAACTAACCTGGGGCTATCGCTAACAGGTAGAAACGATAAATGTAAAAAAAGAAATTCCCTTGCCTTTTTGTGTCATATTTTTCAATTCCTAATTTTGCACAGAGCGTGTCAGCACCGTTTTTGTAAACTTAGAAACGTCGAACCATGCAAATAATGTATTTATGGAAATTTCTCAAGATATCGGAAAACATATTTTTATTTTAACCATGTAGAAATGCCATTATTGCCGATTCATTCACGAGTTTAGTATCAGTGTTTTAACTCAAATCTGAGTTACGTGAATACTCGACACTGAGTATTCAAGAGATTACCAATTTGGGGAGTTTTAAAATATTATTTATTACGAAAGTTACACGGACACGATCTAAAATTAAAAGCATAGAAATACCAACTATCCGCCTCACAAATATCGCATCCCGGGGTCAGTAATGGTAATATTGTTCGCCTAAAAAAATTGCGACCGTAATTTACAAACTGTGATACAAATCCTACACAGAAGATAAAAATCAGGATACAATTAAATTGTGTTGTGAATGCACTCCGTAATAGTGGTCTTTAACATCTTCGCCGATGTGAACCCACAATTCTGTCCGAAATATAATATATTTTGCTCGCCACTAATCACACCGCGCATGTAAATAATCATTAAATGGCAATAAAAAATCAACTTTATTAACAATAAATTCCAAGTAATAGTTCCACATTTCATGCATTTGATCGGCGCTACATGCGAGCGCGTTTTTGTACGTACAAACCATTATGAGGCTACTGATATCTGCATGTTATAGTTCTCTCTAAAATTAATTTTCACGATTTTTAGTGTTTTATTCTGAATGCGGATACCCGCTGACTACGGATAAATGGTCGATTTTTAAAATAGGACTTGCAAAATATTCACCAACACCGACAGGCAAAGAAAGGTGTGCTATATGTAACTGGAATTTCGCTGTGAACGACCATACCTTTTAATTTATTAAACGCATTATGTCGTCGTGAAACACACTTTTGGTGCAATGTTTTAATTTCAATTTTCGAGAATCATCCTCGTTGTATTTCGTGTTCCTTCGCAAATTCTGCCTATATATGATGTTTTCTACCCGATTTTAACTAACCCGCACGCAAATCAAGGCATGCCGACATTTTAAAAAATTGCTTGTCCTTGCGTAAGCTCTGAAATAGTATACCATTAATGTAAACGAGAAATTAGGCTAAAAGCTAGTTTAAGATCACGAAACGGGGAAAGATTTTAGAAGTGATCTTGTGTAATATTTAGGAGAAAAAGTTTGAAGAGAAAGTAGGTTAACTTATCTCTTAAAACAGAGGGTGGTGTCCATCAAAATGATATTGCTTAATATATCGGAGAAAAAAATCTTCGGAGTGAAAGTAGGTTACCCTATCTCGTAAAGCGGGAGATGACTTTCAAAGTAATATTGTGCAATATTTTGGAGAAAAAGGTTTGAAGGGAAAGTAGGTTAGCCCTTTTTTTTCACAACGCAACAATCGATAAAGAATGAAAAAGGGAGCCGGAGAAACATGACGTCAAACAATCTTATAAAACTGGAAGAGGAGCGACTACTTTCAAGCATATTCTATCGAACGAGGAAGCGTGGTTGAAGCGATAGCGCCCAGATTTGACCTACCTACGAGGATGGAAAAAGTTTGTCATAGATTTATTATGATAAAATAGGCTTAGCCTAGAATATGAATCATCGCATGGTGTGTTAGTGTGCAATCAATTTGTGGTAGATTACAATTCCACTTCCTAATATTACGTTAAGCCCATTTTACCCGTAATTATGAACGAGGCATTTACCACTTTACTTTCTTAGAAATTATTTTAGTAGGCATGGCAGAGAAAAAGAAACAACGGCATGATATTTTAGCGCTTGACGCTTGGCCGGAGAAATGGAAAAGAGAGTTTCCATATATTATACACGATAAGAAAACAGGAACCGCAATCTGCACGTATGTTGAGTTCATTATAAGAAAATCAGACAATATGGACCTTTGATCGAAGAATTCACAAACAAGGAGGCAGTAGTGATGGAATGGCAGAATCTTCGTCATGATCTGCATATTCTCCAAATACCGGCTATGGAGAACGTAAGTTCTAATCGGTAGCTACCATTTGTATTTATTTGTCGTATGCTTCTGATCTGTCATCCAACACACACGCACTTAGCTTCGAAGCATATGAAACCTAATTTAATATATGCAAATAAATTACAGGTATGCAAGTACTTAGCGGCAGCGCCCGAGTACCCATGCTTTCAAGTGCTGGGCAAAGTCACAGGTAAAAATTATTATAACAATTTTGAAAGTATGAGAATTTGAGAAAACTTCTTACTTATTTATTTAGAAAATAGGACTATATTTGATATTGATGAATACCACTTTTGTAGGAATAGGCTTAGCAGCAGACACCTAACAATGCTTCTGAGATGTGGCGAGGAGACATCCATAAAAGCAGACAAAGCGGAATCATTCTTCAAGGATGTCTTGCAACATTGGAAAGATTCCAAGCTACGTCGCCACGAACGGGCTGCAGAAGCCACGCCATCCGTTTTTATTCGTTCGCTTTTGTATTTTTATTTGTGAATAAAACAAATGTGTGAACTGTGCAATTTTATTACTTGATATCGAAGCCTTGTAACTTTCTCTCGTTGAAAACAAGGGTTGACCCCCGGGATATTTGGTGGGCCACTCATGCAAAATGTATGTTATGTTTTGAGAAAAATACCGTCGTTACTTTTTAAATAAAAAATTGATAATTATCCGATTGGTTCTGGCTCCGCCTGCAAATCCTTTTATGCACAGACCTCATGTAGAAACACCATGTAACAGTTATCTGAAACGACGAAACATTAATGTAATCCTAAGGCGAAGTTTGGTATCGATCTATGGCCGGCAGTAACACGAATGTGCAAGGCTTTGCTGGTCATTCGAGCAATTGACTCCGGTGGTTGATTGCAGGAAAGTTTCGTTCACGACAGGTGTGCCAAGCAGGTGTCCTTTTGTTAGTGATGAATTTGCTTCAAATCGCGACAGGTGTGCTCAGCAGGTGTCTTTCCTTGCCGATGAATTCTCTCGTTTTAATCAAGATTTAAAGGAACAGAGAGATTCTTTTTAATTCGTGAAATTCACAGAATGAGCGCTGTTTCCGGTATTTATGTCTGAAATGAGTTATAACAAAAGCTAGGGCACCTAACTTGTTAAAATCGAAAAAAGCACTTTGTTGTTAAAATCGAAAAAAAGCACTTTCGCACTTTTTTTTTCGACTGCGAAGCACTTTCGCACTCATAATTTCCTTAGAGTTAACACTGCTTAGCAGCATTGGTTGATCTTTCTAAATTTACAACCATACCAATCAACCAACCACTTAGTTGGTCATATTTTATTTTTGATCATATTTTTAAACTGAAATACATAATAACAAAACTTACCAACACCATCAGATGCCGTTCCATGCGACTGTTTAGCAGATTTTGGTTGTAGTTCCATCTTTTCTTTGAGCTTGACTGGCCATCTATAAAGATTTACGGTAAATTGTTATTACTGTGCGACTAACATGACATTTAATTCAAGAAAAGAAATGCACCTGTGCAACAATGAGTGTAATACTCTTGATGAATTCTGTCCAAAATTAAATAACGTAGCTGAGTTTGAGTGATCATTCTTTTTCTTCTTTTTAATAGTCATATAACGATTGACACCTTTCCTAAGAAAATATAAACATGACACCATAACACTGTGGTAATAGCTATTGTAAAAAGGCATATTATGTAAAAGCAAGCTATCTACTAGTCCAAAATATAGGATAAATTGGAATCTCATATTTATCTCAAACAAGGTGGGCCACAGATTCTTGTACCATACAATAATATCTGCATGAACCAAGAAATAAGAGCAGACATTACAATGTGCCTCAAATTACGCATTATGAGTGAGAGATTTACTGAAATCCTTTCTATTATCACAAATACATAACTATTTATTCCTCATGTAACAGGAGGTAAAAAAATACCAAAATAAACAAACCCTTTGCTCTTTGATTTCAGACCATACTGCACACATATTTTATGGATATAAGCTCTATCTGTACTGCTGAAAGATGAAGGGAATTCCAATTCTGTATGAAAAAAATACAAATAAATAGAAGAAATATCTTTAAGATAACATAAGAAAATCAATCACGTAACCACAGAACAACTCAAAATTTTTTTTAAATACAAACCAAGTATTAAGTATTTAGAGAACTTTGTTTTGTAAAATAAAGTCTGATCTAGGATCTCAAATTGTAACATATTTCGCATCTGTAATTCAAGTACGGTAATAGTGCAAGTAACGATGCAATAATGCTAACAGATAGATGTTGTGTCGTGAACTCGAAGAATAGACGATGTTTGTAGATATTCAAAAAGTATTACAGAAACACGCAGTCATTAATCATAATACAGTATACTACAATAGAGCTAAGAAAAACTGTCTAATAACCCCGATAAAAAGCACACGCTTCATTAGCCAACTTTTTTTCTAAAAAATCTTTCTTTCGTGCTCCCAGGTAACTACTAAGTATTAAAATCTAAAATATTCAAATTATAATAAACATTAATCAGTAACAATAAAACCATGAATTTACCTTGTTCATCACCTGCCAAGAATTGATCAATCTTAAGTTCTACTGCCATACGAACTTCTTCCTCAACACAAATTTTCATTGCTGGTTTCTTCCCAAATCCTTTTCTTGCCATTGCCATCTGCACAATATTCTGCTTGCAGAATTGTCTTCTTCGAAGTTTAAGTTATCATAAGATATAATGCCTTTTAAAACATTTTGAAGATACTTTAGAACAGGGGTGTGCAACATTTTTGTTGGTGGGCCAGGTAACCAACTTCAGACATCTAGCTGGGCCACACAAAAAAATTAGTTTTTCCATATACACAACAAATTAAAATATTACGATGCAAAATTTAATGCAGCGACAAGAGCAAATAAACATCGTATTTTTATCCATGTTTTTTAAACCTAAAATGTTGGATTAGGATTTTACGCTTGGAGCAAAACTTGAGTGTTGACAAGGGCCACAGTAGTCTAAATGTCTTGGCAGGCCAGCTTGTGGCCCGCCTGTTGCACACCCCTGCCTCAGAATCTAACTTAGACAAAAATAAAATAGCCTGATCTGCAGATAGTGAAATAATAGCGACAGTTCGAGTCAAAATAGTCAGTCAATGATAAAGCAATATTCAGATATTACTAACTTGAAGGAAATATACATTCAGTTTACTCTTGGTAGCGCGCCAGTGTGACTTCAGCACATGCTAAGATCAATGCTGTAATGGCAGCTGAATGGGGCAAAATGCAGAAATGGCAAATGTCTGAATGTTGTAGCAAGATAAACTGAGCAATGCTGCATTGACCTTGCGGCTACATGCTTTTAACATCTGCCCTGAACATAGACTACTGGTTGTTCAATAAAAGGTTTTATTCTCACACAAAAGCCAGAAAGCTGAAACTGTGAATAGCCTGTCTTCAATCAGTCAATGAACTGATGGATGGTGCCTCTGTCTGTCTGTCTGTACTCTGCTGACTGTCTGAGTCTGATAATGCAGTACTGGAAATGATTATGGTAACGTTAGTTGTTTATAATCACAGACCATATACTGATATAGCCATAAATTTGTAAATGATACATGAAAACAGGTTGTTATGCATTGTCCCTAATCCTATCCTATCACCAGATCGCTGTCGTGACATTGCATGAATCTGTGAATCTTGCCGCCGCTAAATTTCGAAAACCCCAACCAGACAGCAGACAAATACTGTTATAAAAATCGAGAAAATTGCTAATATTCTCGTATCACGGAATAATATACCGGAGTAGGGAATCACAAATAGATTTGTTCGTCAGTACCAAAGCGACTATAGTGCAGTGGTTCTCAAACTGGGGGCGGGGGTGGATCGCGGAAGATCACAAGATGCTCATTCAAAATTTCATGGAAATGTCATTCTTGTTTCTTTATAATGATGTAATATTTTGTTGTTTATACGCATGCACAATGACCATTTTCTATCAAACTCCGAGCATCGATTACCTTGCTTATTGTCGTAACAATGACCAATCAGCAATAGGTAGGCTTACCATACGTCCGGTTTAGCCGGGACAGTCCCGGATTTGACAAGCTGTCCCAGCGTCCCGGCCGGTTGACTCAAATGTCCCGGTTTGTCAGCACGGCTGTCAAGGTAAAATATTCATATATATATATCCATTATTAATACAAATTTTTTTTAACGGTGAAAGCCCATTTACCACTGTTTTGCGACACACTTCGCTAGTTCAGAGAGAGTGAAATTGCTCTATTGTTATGTCACAATTGCGCAGTGGCAGCGCGTGGTCATTTTGACAACCGGGCCAAGCTACTGCGTGACCAAGTCACCCCCATCTACGGGGACAGGATGAGCGCTGTAAGTTCTCCCATCATTTTATGAGTATAAAAACCATTCCATCGGTAACAACCAATCGCCAAAAGCGACAATTTTTAACGATAAGAAAGTGTCTTTAAAACCGGTCCAAGTCAAGGGATTAATAAATAAAGACATAGTTTGTTTTGAAACCTCTTTCAGAAAGAAAGGCAATATTTACCCAGATAAATACAATGACATATTAACAGAAACTTCGGGAAAGCAGACAAAACCTAAAATAAGGTTTAAAACGTTACTATGAAGAAAGGAAAGTTATGCAAAGATAAGGACATGCGTCGCTCACTCATAGATATATATGCTGCTAGACTTCTACTGCTTGAACATACATGCAACACGCCGCGGTTTCTTGGAAGCAAAATGCTCAATAACGCGCTGATTAAAGTCATGCATCTCAGAATAACGTTTCTGTGAATGGATAAAACAGTCAAGGAATTTAATCTATCTTGCTTCATTGTGTTTCTGAGATACGTTTTAATACGCTCCAGCGTGCTGAATGTTCGCTCTGCGTCGGCGGAAGAAATAGGCGTCGTCAAAATGATGTCCAGAAATTTTGCAGACGCCCCAAAAGTAGTTACTAGAGTGTTATCTATGAGGAACCCATAGAGCGCGCAAGTTGATGTGATGTTCAAAAAAGTTTGATTGGTGTATATACATCGCAATTCATTTTCCAATTTACCCACGTTTATCATGGGGTAAAATTTGGAGACAGTAGCCAACAAATGGATGGGAAATTGACCTGCAAATTTTGAAAAAATTTTGGGGTTCATCAAAGAGAACGCGGCAAGGTGTTCAGTGCGCAGACGATCGCCTATTTGATTCACCAGAATGTCACAGCATTCCTTTGCAGACAAAATCAAACGCTACGTTGTTTGCCCGCTGCGTAAAGAAGCACTCCATGTGTCGTCGTATTTTATTGTTTCCCGGATACGAGATACAGCATCGCAGAAGTCTGAAATACACGACTGCACAGACGCTCCATCCAATAGCCTTGACTGCAATGCGCCGCATAATACATCCACGTAATAGAATATTGTGGAGAAAAAAGCGAGAAAAAATGAAAACTCACCATCTTCTAGCAGACGCTTTAGACCTGCCGCCTTCCTCACAGAGCGTTCGTCCCAAACCGGAGAGCTCTGAATGCCATTGAAACACTCAATGAGCTCAGACCTAATTTCGGACACGCCCTGCACCACGCGTGATTGGAAGTTCCAACGTGTTGGTGCACAAGCTGGGACACGGCTGCTACATATCTGGCGAAGGAGGTCAGAGCGCTTCGGCGAAACGGAAAAAAATGAAGAAAACCCCGAAACATTTGCAAAAAATATACGGACGAGAGGGGTATCAAGACACATATTTTTAATAACGAGGTTAAATTGGTGTGCATAACAATGTAAAAATGCGCATGAGGAAAATCTTCTTTTATATAAGCTTGAACACCATGTTTGGACCCACTCGTGACTGCCGCGCCGTCATAAGTTTGAGCTATCAATTTTGACTTCGCGTTGTAAGGCTGTAACACTTCTTTCAGTACAGCCGATATCCCGCAGGCCGTGCGATCAACGATTGGTACAAAGCTGTGAAATCTCTCGGTAGGTTTACCATCTTTCACAAACCGAAAAATCACAGCCAGTTGGGAAACGCACGTGATGTCAGTTGTCTCGTCAGACTGAATCGAAAGGAACTGGCAATTCTCAATTTCCAGAGCCAAATGTTGTAAATAAATTTTATAAATTGAGTCGAGCAAATCATTTTGGATATTCTTAGATGTCCCTTTCGAAACAGTTGCGGCATCATGATGATCTCCCAATACTGTATCCAGGGATGCGGTGTATTCCACCATATCAAAAAATACCCCTCTATTAGAAGAGCCAGCCCGTTCATCGTGCCCACGGAGGGACAGCTCGTGACAACCAATGAACTTCAAAACATCTATCAATCGACCGAGAACATGGCGGTTTTTCTCGACGTTTTGGTTGTGCCGACGAATAGAAACCGCGCGTCCTTCATCCAACTGTGCTGCAATATTAACATTTCCGAATGTTCGGTATTTTACTGCATTGTCCAGATACTCCATAGAAGATTGATGATCCCTGGCACGCTCGGAAAGATGTTTAAGATCTCTAAAACCAAATTTACACCAACGTGAGTCACGGGCGGTAGCAAAAAGTAGGCAATAAAAACAAAAAAGTGCATTTTTATCCTCGCTGTAACACAACCATTCGTGTTTTTTATACCAAGTTTCTGCGCAGAATGTACGCCGACGCGTTCCTCCGTCATGGGATTGTTCCAGTGAACAATTTTTTGGTTGATAAGGCCCAAAACGTTGTACCTCTAATTTTTGTTCCAGCGGCAGCTGCGAAAACGGAGTGCGAAGTAGTGCATCAACCTTATTCATTATGAGGTCTAAGGCTAAGAAATGCGAAGCCGGAAAGAAGTGAGGAGCTCAAAAGGAATGTGGAAAATCGAAAGCAAATGGACTAAAGGTCTCTAACTGATTCAAATAGCGAAACAAGCGACAAAAACGAAGGCGAGGAAACTATCGACTCTTCAAGCAACCAACGAACGAGAAGGAATGCATGAATATGTCAACACGTTGTTGTAAGAAACGTCGGCATTGTGTCGTCATAATTTCGGGGCTAGCCCCGATGATTTAGTAAAAGAAACAGAAAACAAACGAGACAAACGCGGCGAGTGGAAGATAAAAGAGAGAATTCGATATACAATGAGCAACCGGGGCAAAATCGGCGTCGCCCCGTCGACGTTCGGCGAAGGCTTTGCGAGCGAAAAATGAACTATGTCGGGAGAATATGGCTAGTGTAGACAGTCTGTGCAACCGATATTGAGGTATTTTTCGAATATTTTTTATTATACCGAAAAAACAACCGGTGCATCGCCCAGGTTGGCCCTATTGACGCGTCGCCACTGAGTCAATTGGTATATGTTTTAATGCGTTTTCTGGCGTTATTACAATACCGTTAAGTTGTCGAAATGCCATAAAGAAAGTACAAATTTTCTAATGAGTTGAAGAAAAATTTTCCTTATCTGAAGCAAACTGAAGGAAGAAAAGTACACTGTACGCGTTGCAGATCTGTTTTTCTATTAGTCATGAAGGTCGTTCAGATTTCAACGATTATATCCAAAGCAGGAAGCACAAAACACTAAAACACTAATTAAGGCATCGATTCGACTGACCAATTTCTTTGCGATAACAAATTCGGATGATTCTTTGTCGTTGGCAGTCGACATTTGCCTATCACACTGCTATTCATGGCCAAAGTTTTGACTGCACCTCTAAATTGATTTCAAATTTTTTTAGCATAAATTTGCATTAACTTGTAAATAAAGATAGTTAGAATTTCTGATGTCCGCTGTCTGATAAGAGGATTCACTGATTTTGCACGTTTACCCAGAAATAAATGAGAGTCGGTGATTTTTAACTGCATTGCTCCGCTGTTCTCCTCTGAACCCAATGATGATTTACTTTAAACCAGTTTTCAGTAACCCTCGATGCCTCAAACAGAAAAGATATAGGGCTTGTTCCAGTTGTGGTTCGTTAGTTTTTACCTGATGTTGGTGTGAAGATAAAACTATTAGAATTCAAATCTCTACCCGGGGAAACCGCCAAAACTTTTACTGAATACTTGCTCTCTGTTCTCGATCAAAGTCATTTAAAGGGAAAAGTTGTTGGATTCTGTGCGGATAACTGCAACACCAACTTTGGAGGCGTAAAAAGGCGAAAAACAAATAATGCTTCTTTTTCAAACTAAAAGAAATATAACCGGTATAGATTGTGCGGCTCATGTAGTTCAACACTGCACCGCAATACCCTTTTCAACATGCCGTAGATACTTTGCCTGTTTGTGTTGTTGTCAAAATGTATAAATATTTTACATTTACACTGTCCGAGTAACAGAGCAGAAACCATTTTGCGATTTTGTTGATATTGAATATCAACGGCTATTACAGCATGGCAACACTCGGTTTCTCTCATTTTTACCTGCTTTGCAAAGGATTACGGAAATGTTTAAAAG